TAGACCCATGCATTGACTGGAAATAATACTAATCAGTTGAGATTAATTGATAAACTAGTCTCTCTTTGTTCATCAGGCTAGCAGCATGTTCATCCAAACAGGGGATCAAAGAGTACAAGTCAAGTACAATGGAATGTGTGATGTTTTTAATCAAACAGTTCAACATAATGGTTTTAAAGGATTGTGGAGGGGGCTTTCAGTGAATCTTATCAAGGTAACCATGGAATACACACGCATAGTAATTTGCAAAGAGCTCTTGAATAGGTTGTCAGAGGCTATGGCAAATATATTCATTATTTGTATGTAATGTAGTCAATCCATGATTGTCATGACGTACCATGCAATTTAACTGGAAGTTGGATCAGATTTCTAGACATCCACAATTTTTTTCTGAGTAGAAATCATTTTGAGAGGTTTTTTTTTTGAAAAATGTCCTTTGATAAATTCAACTGTGATATGAACTGAGACTGATGTGCAGCATACTTCATAACACATCCATGCCAGCTCCTCATTGTTGGACCTTGAGCATCACTACATACAGATACCATATATCCATTATCAACCTTTCTAAGATGGCCTGTTTTTATGTATGAATTTCAAAATTTCCATAAATGCCACTGTATTGACAATTGGATTTTTTTTCTTACTTTCAGATTGTACCCAGCATAGTCCTAACATATCTAGTATATGAACAATGCAAAAGGGTTTTCTTATATCAGAATGGATATACAATGTCCCCATTTGATGCCATTCCCAGAGAGGATGTTGATCAAAGTCTGTTACCACATGAAGTCAAAACAAATCAATAGTGGACTTCTCAATAAGCATGTAATCCGTGACGTTTCATGGGAATGTCAAGCACTCTAGATGTGATTGACTAATTATTGTCTAGTCTCTGGAGGCATACATGTAGCAAGTATGTCCTTTGAGATAACAGAAAGGAAGACTTTAAAGAACCTTTTGTTGGGTCATATATTTGTACTCAAAGACATGTAGTAGCGGGTTCACTCTTTTGAGCAATATGTGTACTTTTTCAAGCAAAAAGAGTTATAGAATATTATTTCTAATTCAACAAAGTTTTCTCTGCTMTCATTGGTGTTGAGATGGGTTCCAGTATYAGTGCATGGAGCCCACTTCAGCAAATTTTATTGTTGAATGATAAAAACAGAGTGTAGTTGAATAGAGGGCATTGTGTTTTTGATTGTTGACCTTGGGCATTCTTTGAAACTTTACAGTTGTMCTCAAAATTCCAGTTTCTGTAAGCAATAATGGCCTCTTTTCAACTACTCTTTTGTTTAAAACAGTGAGACATTATTGACAATTGTCAATGATACACAGGCAGGGTAATTCAAATACATATTTATTTTATGCCACATCAAGAAAATGTTATTTACAAATAAACAAAACATTTACATTTAATTAAACTGATGACAACGGATGTTTTACTGTCATCACAACTACTCTAAACAGCCAACACTTCATGTACAGAGAATAATTATTCTAAAATATTTCATTGTTAAAAAGGACTTTTCAAGGAAATAACTACATGTGTTTATTGTTTGCAATTTGTTTGATTCTTCTATATGCAGAAAACAATATACATAATAATTGTGCACCATTACAAATCTTAACTTCATAATAATTTGAAAAATAAACGAACTATGGCAGGAATTCTACATATTTACTAGGTGGCAAGCAATATTTTGAAAACACATCCACAGATGCTTTGTCAACTTGTCCACGATATTGCCTTATTAAGTATTCATCCAACTTGTTTCAACRATGGCAATGACTTTTTTCTCGTATTCTCTTTTATTTTCCTGGTACAATTGGGCAGCCAGACTGTTTGCAGGACTGTTAGGGTTTGGTTCATCCAGTAAAGACTGTGAAAAAAAAAGCCACCACTAAATCTACATCTATTATGAAGGGATTGATTAGGTAAAATGCTTTAACAGTATCTGCAATTTTACAGTAAAGATAGTCCTTTTCACAAACTATGTTATCTTTGCGTTGATAAAAGATGGCATATATATATAATAAATTCTATCAAGGATGATGATGTTTATTAAAAACTATGGAGGATAAATTAGAGAAAGACCAGTCTGAGGAATAAGTAATGTTKTTTTTTTCGACAATCAAAAAATTMATCTTGCCAAAGATAGGAGAACATCATTTCCCACTTCATTGGGTAGTTCCAGAAAATATCCWTACCATACGACGGGCAGCATTTCTGAAATCCAGAGGGGAGTGGGGGTCATCGATTTRGGAATTCCAAAGGGGATGGGGGCTGAACGATTTAGGAAATCCAAAGGAGGGGGGAGGGGAATTATAGACATATTATGTCTTATAGAAAACGACCTTCGACACCTTCAACCAGGACTTACGTTGATCACTCTAACAGTGCTTGTTTTGAAGAGAATATGTATTCTCATTCATTTCCAAGGGGGGAAATTAATTTCCTAGGGGGGCAAAACACGATTTTGGAATTCCTAAGGGGAGGGGGGATACCCAATTTCGGAATTTCCCAAGGAGAGGGGGTGTCGAAAATCGATGTTGCCCRTCATATGGTACGGATATTTTCTAGAACTACCCTCGGCATTGACATAAAATAATTTTGTACACTATACTTGATGGTTTAACTTGACAAAAAAAAGGATGCACTCTACTTTTTATTGACTTGAAACTTTTGCCCTCTAATTCCACCAATTAATGTGATATACAAGTGTTAAAGTCAGCAACAACAATAACAATTATGTAATTACAAACCTGTATAGAAGTGAGTATTGATGATACATCATATGTTGGACTCCATCGGTTTTGTAATATATCTAAGCATATACCGCCATCTGCGTAAACTAAAAAGAAAGCACATTAGCTTAATGTTTTAGAAACAGTTTCTTGAAGAGTATATCAAAATAAACTCTTACTGATGAAAACCAAGCTTGCTTTGCCAAAACCAGGTTTTGTTTTGTTGCACACACAYACACACAAGCTTGGAGTTTTGAATAATAATGTGTCTAAAACCTATCAACTTTACTTTCAATTTCTTTTCTTTTAAATTTGGTGATATCATTGAAAAATTTGGTATACATCCAAAGGGAAATTTTGTCAACCTGTAGTTCTGTTCAATGTTATATTATTGTTTTGTAAAACAAACGAGAAAACTGGTGAAAGTGAAACTATGCTAATTGGGGCACATTTTCCTTTTATTTGTGAATTGGGAAGAAGAGTAAAATCCCCCATACTCAATGCTAGAAGCTTTGGATTCGATTTCTTGGTTTATAAATTGCATCATTGTATCTAACCCCTCCCCCCTCCAATAATCCTGTGAGATTATCAATTGCATTTAACTTGCACTATTGGTTGTTCCTTCTGATTTTCATTTTCAAAATCAAGATGAACCAATCTGTTACTACCATTAATTACCCTTTAAAATCTACATGTAATTATCTAAAGATCAGAATAATATTATGTAATACCTTACTTGAGTATGATCATTGTTTTAACATAAAACTTATGTATAATTTAGTACAAAAATACATTATATCTAGAGTTTAACTATAATAATAATAATAATAATAATAATAATAATAATAATAGTAATAATAACTATAAGAAATTTACCATTTGGATGAAACATTTTTGATATGAAGCGAACTGATGGAGGTTTATTGGGGTATTCTTCTGTAAATTCCATTTGTAATTTGAAAGTGCCTAAAATAAAACGTAAAAATGTAAGCTTTCAATATTTTTAATCAGATGAAAAACCAATAATAGTAAAGTAACAATGGAGAAGCTGTATATATTGACATCTTACCATCTTCAAAAGGAGTATCATTGGGTCTGAGAATAAGAAAATACGATGACGTTAGTAAAATTAAGAAGTCGGCCATTGATTTCGTCATTTGTTTTTTACAGTGAGCTTAAACTCTATACACTGACCCAAAAATTACAGCATTCCAAAGCATTATATTATTTTCAGTAGGAGCACCACTAACGCCGTCAGGAGGATCGTCTTGCAATCTAAAAACCAACCAAAAAACGCACTTAAGCTTAAAAAATGTCCGACAAGCACCGAGGAAAAGACGGAAGGACGTCAACTATTTTACGTTCATGGACGTATTTAAATCTCAATATTTCACTAATGGTCGATTTATACAAAGACAAGTGATAGGTTGACTGACTTACTTTTTAAAGTCTCTCATTAGACGTCTTCTCGCTGGGGTAGACATGGTTTTACTTTGTGTTTTCTGTAACCTCCTCGTCACTTCCAACAAACAAACCCGATCATCGAACGAAAATCACTTGACGTCATGCGCCTATATATCGTAAGATCTACCGCTGACCAGAATATGACGTCATTAAGCACAGGGCTCCCGTACGTCGCGTCTTCCACCAATYAATCAATAAATCCATGAGGGATCGAATGTATTTGTTCTTATCTCATATATTAATATTCTACCTATTTTTCGAAAATTATCAAAAATGTTTTAGTGAAAATAATTCTTAAAGATATAATCAGCCATAGTTTGACTATAGTATGTTTTCGTTTAAAGGTTTTGTTTTCTGAATTTGTTTTAGCGTATTACATCTTTCAAATGCACGCGCAAAGCAGCGAAATGAAATAAAAATTGAATAGAACTGAAYATTGAGTATTGTGAATATCACGTGACACGCCGCGGTCAGCTGTCTAGCAGGTGGATGTCATTGACATTCATCGTTTTGATCCAAAAAACGAAATTTTACGCATAATTCACACTGCATAGCATACGTAAAAGATGTCTCACAAGGGCTTCAGTGCAAGAARAAATACATCAAAATCATCGAAATTGTCTAAGCAAAAATCCCTTTCTACCAGCTGCATTTTTGAAAAGCCCAGCCTCAGTAAGAGATCGAAGAGTGAAACGAATTTGCTGTCAAACAAACGATGTATTTCTTTAACACAACTCAACATGCTCGGCTCAACAAAATCTCTTGAGCAACTCGATTTACAGAGCATCAAAGCAGAAGAACTATTCTCACGCGAATTTGATCATTTTTACGATAAAAAAGTGCGGAGCRGTCGATCAAAATCGATGGAAAACAAACGGTTGGCATTCACGGCGGCCTTTAAAGTTTTATTAAACGCGCAGTTTGTCAACGACAGATTCACTACTACAGATCTACTGCAGCGAAACCCTAAATACTGTGAACTAACAGAGCTGACGTCCAACTGGTTTGAATTTGAAATTCCTTTGTTTTTAGATGGTCTTGATCAAAATGTTTTTGTTCAATACGCTGAAGAGGGTGGCTATGTTCGTCTTGCGATTGATTCTGARCAGAATTTCAACTGGAGTGACTGCATCACAGAGGAGGGGTTTCTATCTGCTAATTTGGTACGTTCAAATCTTCAACTCACGATACAGAAGACTTTGGTACTCATGAATTCCAATATCCAAAAAGACATGGACACTCTACCAGACGGTGTAAACGCATTAACCGTCTATTGCGATGGCTCAACTATTGTATTAGACATCAATTCAGGAGAAGTACTCGTCGATTTGATACCATCTATCAGACTTCATAGCCAAGCACTTGAATTCTTCCGGCGCGTAGCGAAATCTCACGTTAGCCCATCCCACGCCCTTGCTAAAGCCAGTGAAAGACCAATAAGTGAYCCTGAAACTCTTTGGATGCTGTCATTTGCCAGTGAAGAGCGGAAAAAGGTTTGGCAGCTGAACCAGAATCAGCGCAAACTGCTCGATGTACTGATTGAGTTGCGAGAGCTAGATGGATTGTTTGGTGAACTTTCTCTCAATCACATGGCGACGACAATGTTTTATTTGGTTGATGAGATAAATGATCCTTACGATTGGACGGACAGCGATATCGGAGAGCGATTTATCGACGCACTTTTCTATCTGGAAGAATTCTTAGAGCGCAAGTTCTGCGAACACTACTTCGTTAAAGGCGCAAATCTTTTTAATGCAATGGGCCCGGTCACATTATCCCAGTTAAAAGACAAAGTGAGAAGGATTGTAAAGCCATCTTGTGTTGCCTGTGGTTTAGCTTCGTTATTTGGACCATACACAAATATCAAATGCAAAAAGATGCACTTCTAATATTCATTCATACATTTAAATCTTTGAAGTCCTGCACTTCGCACTCCGGCAACGGATATATATGACCTTCCATCAGCATTCTTTAAACACTGCAATGGCTTTCCTTTTGACTTTGAAAAGGCTTGACACGGACAATTCTTGAAATTTGACATGATGATACGAGAGAGCAAATTTCGCGAGTAAAAGTTTTGTTGCAGAACTTTTTTTTTTCTTCCGCCTCAAATCGTTGGTGCAGGCGAGGGGGATTTGCTCCGGAAGCATGTTGCGGACGCATGTTGCGGAAGCAAGCTCCTTCAACACGTTTTGATAACGACTGCGATCGAGCAAAGTTTCATAAGAACATCAGTGACAATAGTTACTAGTAGTCGAGTTTATGAAATACCTTAATCAAGACAATCCAATTTGCCTTTCTAAAGAAGAAATCYAGTGAATCATCTTAAAAGATTTTATTGAAAATAACAAACATCGTACTGATATACAATAACTATTAAAAAATATAACTATTACAAATAATACATAATACGTATGATCATGCGTTATTAAAATATAATACATAAGAGTGATAAAAATAATTATTAGGTAATATATGAAAAAGGTTGAAATACCCTAAGACGTGTACACGTCAGGTYGATTTAAAAGCCATGCACAAGTATGGTTATAGTTTTGTTTTACAAATAATGACAGTGGACATGTTAGCACAATATCGCCGCTAAATATTTGTTTAGTCTGTAAATATCTGTGCTTATTTAGGGCTTGGTAAACTGAAGCGTTTTAACAACGTTTTTGTAGTTTGTTCTACGCAATTCATATTAAAGAATTATTGTCATTATGTGGGATCTCCGAAGCTCTTTTTTCAAATCTATGTTATATATACGGAAAGAAGGCAACTCTTTGATATGGGAAAAGGAAAACTTTTTACTATACACAAATGTATTTAAGTTCGTACTATTTGTACATAAGTAAATAAAAAACAGGCAATTTCCTCGACTATTCTGAGAGTTTATGTTTTTTACTTTCCATTATTGTTCGACATACTGATCAAACTGCATTTGCCTTGTCCTATATCCACCAAGCCACGCGGACATCTACACGTACAGGTGTGTCGATCCAATATTTTGCCGTGAGGGCAATATTTCTTTTTACATACACATGCACATTTTTCGCTATCATACTGCAAGATAAGGGGAACATTATTTATCAGTTGAACGGGTATTATATGTTATTTACCGGCCGGGAGGTCCGTATATGAAAACATTGCCCGAGGTCTTGACAGTACGGAACGAGCGCAGCGAGGTCCGTACATAAAAGACCGAGGGCAGTGTTTTCCTATACGGCCCGGCCTATAGCCGGTAAGTAACATTTTTATTTTTTTTTATTTGTATTTTATTCAACTTTGCTCGCAGCCTAGCTGCAGGATACCGTCGGACCGGGCAGATCGTGAAAAACCGGACCGCGCGCTAGCCARTCACAGCGCGCGAATAACTAGGATACCGGACCGAAAAAAATAAAATATAATATGTACCAGCATTAATTGAGGTGAGATCGACATATATGTTATATAAAGTGTAGCTAAATGCTAGGAATATTCACATCTGTGAAATAAATATTACCAGTACCAATCACAAATCGTTTTGATGAGAAAATAGAAAAGAAAGGAATTAGCATATTTTTTTGTATTCATAGTGTGTTACTGCAAAGGTAGTAAAGAGGGACAGGACAGGGGGGGACCTCCAGGGTAAAAGCCCCGGGGATACTCATCAGATCTCTTAGGGGTAAAAATTCGTGATTGGGAATCTTTTAGGGTACCAATTTGAGTTTCTCAAAATTGGCATTTTCTGCAATCTCTTATGGTGTAGGAAAAGAAGAGAAACAGCGCATCAATATTGATTGTCCTCTGCATTTTGTTTTGTCATTTACATGTAAATATTTTATACATTTTATCATTGGAATTCTACTGATCAGTCAGCCACGCCCTTTTTTCAAGACTTCCAGGATCTTTTAGGTATCTTTTTGAAAATTGCCAATGAGCATTCCCAGTACATTTACCTCAGAGTTTCCCCTTCCCCGGGTCATTTACACCACAAGGCAGTGAGAGGGGACTGTCTGGCAATCAACATCATATTGCCAATAATTGAAATTGTGATGCCTTTGATAAATGTTGTAATTTTGTCTACAGAAGCCACAAGAATTCCTTCAACCTCCTTGTCAACCTTTCAAAAGATGGCCTATTCCCTAAGTAGAGTTACATTCATTTATAGTATCCAATACTGTACCTCAAATGGTGTTTTGCACTTCAACACCTCAGCACTGTACTCTTGTTTACATGTACACATACAAATATCTTGGTTGAGGAACATTTTTGGGGGGCAATTTCTTYTTTTGCACACACAATCACATCTTTTATGGTAATCTATGGTGAACGCTCGTATCTCAGGTAATTTTTGGGTAAATTTCATATAGTAGTAGTACTTGTATGTTGTTYTCACTTCAGAATCAACAGCTCGACATTCTTGGCGGTCTGGAACTACGCATCCACCACCACATTGGAAGGTTACTAAGCAATTGCTTGGAATGAASCTTCCCAAGTACCATGTGGGGTTCKGTATGAAGGATCTTGTCAATSTTGGTGCACAAGCACAGCCAGCATCTTCACTAATACTCTGTGCATGTACTTTTGGGTCTATTAGAAATTCAAAACATTGATCATTTAATTATATTATTGAATGCAATTTTATTTTCGATACCCTATCTTATTGGATGAAAAATGGTCAGCAATTCAATGAAGCTTAAGTAAAATAAACACAAGGAATATGTATTTTAGTAAAGATTCTTCTACCATACCTGGTGGTGGAGGAGGTTTAGTTTTTTGTTTTATCCTCATGCTCATCCCTTGGCTGATTCCCAAATACTTGTATAAACTTGACATATTTTTTGATGCAATCATGAATTTTTTAAGTTCGTCATGTGGGATTTCGTTCTAAATGACAAAAGTATAAGTGTGAGGATTTGATCCATTCACAGCATAGTCCTCATTCAAGCTTTACATACACTCTTGCACTTACGCACTCAGCCCCATGCTTACTCGTCTGCGAGTAGGGACTAGGTGGATCAGGGACCGCGGATAAAGAAGCGAAGAGCCTCCTTATGAAGTCTTTGGGATTTTATTGATAATATTGCTGACCGTGTATGTGGTAAATGTGTCTTGGATAACGTCTCAAAATGCTGGAAAGGACATTTCYGAGAGTTAAGATTTCAAAAATTTTCGAAACCCTCCAAGTACCTCCTCGCCGCTAGCCCCCCCAAACACATTCACGCCCCTCGGTCCCTGCGGATCTCTTTTTGTATCAAATCCACGCCCATTAAATAAAGATTGATATTGCAAGAGTAAATGTTTTTTTAGGTGTGTTACGGATTATTATTCTTTTCAAATCGCTATTCTATGTTTTGTATCTGTTGAGGGAAAAAGATCAGAAAGGTCACTTTTATATTACGATCAATAACAACTCGATGATGAAATATTAAATGAGTGTTGATTGCGATTTCTCATGTGACTTGAGGGGTGAGAAACGGATGTACACAGGCTACTTGGCTCTATTCCCGATAAGACGCGACGCTGTAGATTTAGCGGTCCAAAATTTTTTAGATAAAATAAATAGGCTGTGACTAAGCTTATATATCATGCCCGACAATTTTCCATATTACTGCAGTATTTTCGCATATTTACGTCGACACAGTCCAGAATGAATCGAGAATGAATCACTACAATCATCACATGCGATCATCGCATGCGTAGGTCATCCTTAACGGCCGAATTTAATAGACGACACAACTTTCGACTGCAACCATTGCATTCAACTTGCGTAAGTCATGATATGCAGCATGGCTACAACTATCGTTGGGCTGTTACTAACAATAGTTTTATATTCTACGACAGTTGTTTAGCTATGTGGTAAGGATGATTTACGCAAGTTGACATGCGATGGTTGTAGACAGAAGTTGTGCTGTCTAATTCGGCATTAAAGTAGAAGGTATCTAGAAGGTGCAAAGCAAAGTATACTTACAAGAGAAGGGAGTTTTGTAGGTTTTGTTGTTGGTTTTGTTGTTGGTTTTGTTGTTGGTCTTGTCGTTGGCCTAGTTGTCGTTGTTGGTTTTCCTTTACGAAATAACTTCCAAATCCATGAGTCATCCGCATTACTGTATGAAACCCTAGTGGCAGCAAGAGCAAAGACAACTACCAGGAGATGGATAAACACGTTCTTCATTCTGATGTCCTGTCTTTGCAAAATCGTAAACCAAGTGTATGAAACTTCAACTGTAATTCCACACCTCTCCACGCATGGATTTATACTCACTGGGGACCTTATTGACACGTGCACATTTCCTCGACAATTACGTCATTTCCTGTGTGTAWTGAACAACGCCTGGGCTTACAATTCAGCACTGTCAACTTACTAATAATGAATCATCCAAACCTCTTATAAGCAAGTAAACATCGGGAATAAATCACAAAAGCAAATATTGCTTTAGTTTATTCAAATGATTCGTCATGGTATGGAATTTTGCCAGCCTATTGTAGCACAGCAAGGAAAGGTGCAGGGAAGCACCCTTGACCTTTTGTATTTACGCGAGCTTGATGATGCACCCGAGCCGTGAGCTTGTTATATGATTCTGTGGACATCGTGCGCGAGGCCGCTAGATTATGATTAAGATTATGTTTTGACGTCATAGTTTTTAGTCATAATATGAAACTTAATCTTTTTGTTACATAATTCTTACACAAATCTCTTTTTAATTCTGGGCTCAGGATTTACAAAATTTCATGCCCACAAACTTCTTCCAAAATAATCCTAGACTAGCATGCGTTAGACGCCAATAAACTTGTAAAGAGATGTAGAATGTACGGCTAAACTGGTAAATTCAACTTCAGACSKACCCCAGTTCAGCAACATCGTAAAAACTGAGRAGAACACTACGTAAAATGCCGTAAAGTCCTTACCCAACAAAACTAGTTGTCATAATCTTAAAAAAATCCCTTTGTGTCTCTCATTGGGGCTGTAGCTTAAACAGGAGATGCATTTTATCATGGGACTCGATTATCCATCAACCCATTCAGTTTTTATACATTCAGAATTTCGTCCTTTTCGCCACACCTTTTTTCAGCTGGGTTACCTGTGGTTCGTACCCAGTTTTCATGGAATGCATATCACCTGGCTGCTAAGGACCTTTAGCTGACCAAAAAGTGAAAAGAGAAGCACGCGTGTACTTTCAAATTCCTTTATTTGCAAAATACTCTTGAATATTATCAATTGTATTGTATTACCTTTTGATATAGGATCAGTAAGGACAGTCAAACCTACTGAGATATAAGAATTTGTCAGTGTTGGTTTGATGAACACGGTAGATGTCCTCAGTTGAGCAAGAATCATCGTCCAACTCGCCGCCTGCGAAGCGTCCAAGAATTTGTAACAGCCATCAGCAGCAAAACTCAGTTGAAAACTCGGTAAACTCCAACAGTCATCCTTTAGAAACGGTATGCTAGATATGAATCTAAGAATAAACATGACGTGGAAAGATCTAGAAAATGTGCTTAGCCTGCAACTTTTGATTTCCCTTTAGATTGAAATGTCAGACGGTCGAGAGGAAAAAATGGAGATCGACGAAGGTCTTTACTCGAGGCAATTGTAAGTTTTGAGTCAAAATTCACATTAGGAAATCTTCTTATATCTTGTGTTCGTTTAATTTCAATGACTTTGACGTTGTTATAAGTAGATAGGAGTGCATGTTTTGTTTTTGGTCACATGAATGATCTATTCTAGATACGACAAAAAGTTTTTACAAACAAATCAAGTCAAATGCGACATTTATGCGTTAGATTGTACAATGTACAAAAAATTGTATCATGGTAGGYTTATATGTAAGAAAGTTCTGACGACTGGATATGATAGCTACATTAAAGTTTAGCATCATTCAATGTGACAGTTTTAGYTAGCACAAACTTAACGGCGTCTGCAGAATAGGTTGAGAAATAAGTGAGAGTTTCTTAATCTAATTAAAAAATGATCCACACCACTAAAAAGATCACATAAAGATTTGTAAGTTTTGTGAATTTTATAACTTTTGTACAATCACCAGCCTGTTGTACAAGGGTGTCCACATTATAGATTTTGTATGGGYTTATCTTATGGTGGGGCTAATTTCTTCATTAGATTGATTTTAGAAACTTGCTCACACTCCTCCACTCTTTTCAACAGTGGCGGTTATAAKACTGACGGTGTGTGACAATCCAAAGGTGGATCCAGGATTTTCCTCAGGGAGGGGTGCGGGGCTCTCGGGAAGGGATGCAGCCCAAAAAATCAGTAATTACCATAAAGATACAAAATAAGGAAAGTATTGAAGGATACAGATCTCATGAGGGGRTGTGCACCAGCTGGATCCACTCTTGCAATGTCAGTGACGTATTTGCTAAGAGAAATGAAACACTGTCATTTTCACATAAACATGAAGTCAAGTCTAAAACAAATGTTGAAGGTGCTTTCTGCACAACTAAGTCCAAGAGAATTTTGGRTCTTTTACCAAGTTAAATATGTGATATTGATGATATGTAATTGTAAAAGAAACTACAATGAGATCATATTTTAATTCATTTAGTTGAGTAATTCACACATTAAAACATCTTCTTCTTTTTTTTTAAAGAAGAAKTGCTAGTATATTGTATACATTAATAATATTATTACATTACCAGGTATGTGCTTGGTCATGATGCCATGAAAAGGATGGCTGCTTCAAAAGTTCTGATTTCAGGACTCAAAGGACTTGGTGTAGAAATTGGTAAATAACTCACAATTGTAATTGTTACCYTGGAACCATGATAAAAGCTTTATTTGCTATGTTTCTTTAGCCAAAAATGTTGTTCTTGGTGGTGTGAAGTCTGTTACATTACATGACACTGGAAGTGTAGAAAGCTCAGACCTTACTTCACAGGTACTGACAGTAGTATTATTTTACGCTCAAATTATTTTAACAGATGATAAATACTTTCTTGCTTACTTTTATTGTAGTTTTATTTCACCTGTGCTGATATTGGAAAGAACAGRGCTGAAGTTTCTTGTCCAAAAATTTCAGAGCTCAACACATATGTACCAGTGTCTGTAAACACTGAAAATCTTAATGAAAMTTTTATTGCAGAATTTCAGGTAAGAAATTACACTTTTATATCATTAGGTACCATGATTATAATAATATTTACAAGAGGTTTTATTTTTTGTGCAATTTTAGTCTTTAGCTTTGTATTATGAATATAACAGTTCCATGCTCTGCATGAATACATGTCGCTGTGCTGTGACAACAAAGTGACTTTTCCCGCTCATGATAATGTAAAGCAAAATAATAAATAAATAGATAATAATACTATTGATAATGTTCTTCTAGGTTGTTGTCCTTTCTGATTCATCATTGGATGAACAAAAATGGGTTAGTGATTTCTGTCATTCGAAAGGCATCAAAATCATTATMTCAAGCACTAAAGGTTTATTTGGGTGAGTACAACCAGAAAATTCATGAACCAAACTTCCAAGCACACAATGCAAGACAATAGCTAGTGGGAGCACTARATGTATGCACTCCCATGGAAGYAAAAGTATGCWGAGAGGACAACTAGAATCAAAATTTGATAGGGAGGATACAGTGCAATAAAAAATTTTATGTCCTGTTTTGAGAGCTATTTTGTGGTGCTTTTAGTCAAACAAGAGCCTACTATCCTTTGTTTTATGTTCACTCTCCTGTAAATGACCTTGGGGGAGTGCCCTGTATCAAGATAAATGTCATGCTGGGCTTGTATATAAAAACAAAATCATGAGCTAAGTGGATTTGATTATATATCTGTTATATTTTAGACAAATCTTTTGTGATTTTGGTGAAAGTTTTAATGTGGTGGACACTAATGGTGAACAGCCTGGGAGTAATATGATATCATCAGTTACAAAGGTAAAGTAAAACTGTTTCAGATAATGTAATTAATTTTCCACATAATTTCAATAATTATATTCCAAAAGTTAAAAAATAAAAAGTTTGTACAATTAAATGTACACACTATGGGACCAGATTCAAGAACTATTCCAGGAAAGTAATTGAACAATCCTGGAATTACTTTGATTGAAAATGATTCTCTGCAAATGCTCCAAAAAMTATTGCCGTTAGGAGGAATTCATGGCTTGAATTGTTATAATGTCTTTTTTGGATTTTCAGGAAAAAGATGGGGTTGTAACCTGTCTTGACGAGAAAAGACATGGATTTGAAGATGGAGACTGTGTTACATTTACAGAAGTTAAGGTGCTGATATGTTTGTGAGGAGAAAATTTCTCTCTTTAAAGCTATTTACTGCACAGTGAAAACTACTGAGCCTTTTGAATATAACTATCATAGATAACTAAGACTAGACAGTTATGAAATAAGGTAAATTCAAAACCATAAAGACTCTGAGWAAGAGCTTACTGATGTTCCAGACTAGATAGGAATATAATACAGTGCTACAGTACTTCATTTTTTTTTAAAAGCTCAAAAAAAGTAATGATGGAGTGTGGTGTCCTAAAATTGTAAAAATAAACTTTTTCAGGGAATGACAGAATTGAACAATTGTGAGCCCAGGCCAATCAAAGTTCTAGGTGAGCTCAGAACATAAAAAAACTATTAAATTATTTGAATGCTAATTTTGGTTTATTATACCTTTGCGAACTATTAAAAGTAATACATATTAAGATAAGAAATCCATTTGGTTATTACAGGACCATATACATTCAGTATCGGAGATACAACAGGTTTTAGTGATTATATTAGTGGAGGCATTGTCCAACAGGTCAAAATGCCTAGGAYGCTCAAATTTGTAAGTTAATTTTTGAAGGATTATTTGAATATTCAAGTCAGTAATAAATCAATCATATATGTACTTCATTGGTGTTTGTTGAAAAGAGTTAAATTCATCAAATGGTATTTTATAATAATTTGTTTATACAGAAATCATTCAGTCAATCTTTGATGGAACCAGAGTTTGTATTGACAGACTTTGCTAAAATGGAACGACCAGGTCAACTATTGCTTGCATTCGTGGTGAGTTTATTRAATAAATGCACATTAAAAAGTAATTTGAGTTAATTATTTGTTTTCTTTTAATTTGTGGCATATTTGCCTAGTAATCAGCTTTCTGTACAATGTACATATTTCTCTAACATTGYACCTTTATCTTAAGTGTCTGTCAGAGTACTTAAAAAGATATTCAGCAGCGCCTAGACCACGTAATAAGGTAAGTTACTCAGTAATAGTTAAAAGAATGYTCCATTACTTTTACCAACATTATAGCATTACAAAATATCAGTGAAACTCATTGTTAGCCCTCACATAACATTGTACATTGTCTATAAACTTGAATTTTCAGGAAGATCAAGAGAAATTTGTTGCATTAGCTAAAGAAATCAATGGCAATCTTTGTGCTAAGGTAATGTTTACGACAGTGGTTTCACTTTAAAAATAAAAAAAAGACTTGAAATATTATTGGCTTTGTAGTCATTGTCATGAACAATCAATTCATTATTATTGTTGGCCATTATTTATAGCAATAGTTGACTTCATCATTAGTCAGTGTTGGTAAGTTGAAGTTTTTTTTGTGTTCTCAGGTTGATGAAGTAGATGCCAAGCTTCTGTCTGCTTTTGCTGACAATRCAAAAGGMGATGTTTGTCCAATGCAGGGGGTCATTGGAGGTATAACTGCACAAGAAGTCATGAAGGTTTGTATTGTTGGGTGTTCCATGAAAATAGTGTATATTCAATGCTTTTCTTAAGTAATACATAAACTGTATCAACGGGGTAATGAAGACAACAAGAGTTAAAAAAATGTTTATTATTCCAGGCATGCAGTGGCAAATTCCACCCTATCATGCAATTCCTGTACTTTGACAGTCTGGAATGTTTACCTGAAGAAGGAGACATACCAGAAGAACAGTGCCAACCAGTAAGTAGAAACATTAAGTACAAAATATAATTGTTATAAAAACTAAGATAACTCACACTATGATAAATATTAGTCCTTAAGTCATAAATCATACTTTAACAGACTGGTTCAAGATATGACTCCCAGGTAGCAGTTTTTGGAAGTGAATTCCAGAAAAAACTTGGAGAACAAAAGTATTTTATTGTGAGTAAATACTGTTTTTTTTTGGTACATACTGATTATGTGTTTTTGCTCTGCACTAATGTGTATTGAGAACTGTTCAACCGCTTCATCTATGACTTCACTCGGCTAAATACTGGTTTATTTGTTTATTTTGGTAATGAGAATACTACACATGTCCCAGTGTACTTGCAAATTATTTTAGTAGTTCATGTAATTCTCATGGCATCTGTAATCATTGGGTGTGCAAAGTTATTATACCCTGTCTTCAGTGTAGAATGTGGCATCATATGACCCGTATTTCAGCCCTACGCGCRCTCTTAAAAAATCTTTGGGAAATGGTCACGTGATGGGGGCCKTACGCCTTTTCGYGACAGCGCCGTACAAACCCGTATCTCCTGGCTTGAAATTCTGCRCACTTTTATTTTTTATTACACATCTTTTCATCAAAGAAATGGCTTAAAAAACGCTGTCATATGATAAAATGCTTTTTGACTGAGTGGGAGGGCCATATGGGAAAATATTTGGCTCTCGGTCATTTGTACGGACCTCACTGCGCTCATTCCGTACGGCACAACCTTGAGCCAAATATTTTCCCATGTGGCCCTCCCACTCAGTTCCCACTCAGTCAATGAGTACGCGCCAATTTATTGCTTGGGACCTTCATGTGGTAGATCTATTTTTAACTGTTGTATTGTCTTCTGTAAAGGTTGGTGCTGGTGCCATTGGCTGTGAACATCTCAAGAACTTTACCATGATGGGTCTTGGCTGTGGTGAAGGTGGCCATATTTATGTCACTGACATGGACACCATTGAGAAATCTAACCTCAACAGACAGTTCCTCTTTAGACCAGCAGATGTTGGGGTAAGAGGGAATTTTTAAACCTTTGAGTTTTTATACCTGTTTATAGTCTGGTTCCTTGGTTGATTTATCTGTTTGTTGTAATTCATACTCTGAAATTTTTTTTTTAGAAAATGAAATCAGACGTAGCAGCAAGAGCAGTGAAAGCTATGAACCCTGATGTTCACATTACTGCACATCARAACAGAGTTGGTCCAGACACAGAAAGTATCCTTTGAATGAAAAATTCTGTTAGACTGCATTTTCTACCATATTCAAAATGTTATTGAAATCTTATTTTTATTTTTGATCACAATTGTKGATGTTATACAGTCCTTAACACTATATACACAGAGGTTTATGATGATACATTCTTCGAAGCCCTGAATGGAGTTACAAATGCACTAGACAATATTGATGCAAGTAKGTTACCAAGTGCACTATTAAAGTTTTTACATGTGTCTTCATATTCTTATTACAAATATTTGAAGATAATAAAAACTAATTGGCAAGTATCTGCTTGTGATTTTTAGGAATGTACATGGACAGACGGTGTGTCTACTATCGAAAACCACTATTAGAGTCAGGAACACTAGGAACCAAGGGCAATGTACAGGTACAAAATAGAGTTTTCATTAGCAAACTCCAATGGTTAAATGCTGACTGCATTTAATGSTTTTGGTCCTGTCAATCAAAACTYAGAACTTCTCCTGCTTTAGAGACCTCCTTCCCAAATTTTCCCTATAGGGGGTGGAGTGGATGTACACTGACTAAGACACTGTCTTCAAATACCAATAAACTCCAAAACATCARTTACTGCTCATTTAGTATATGGAACTGAGCAACTGTTCAAAGAAGTTTTGATTGGCAGGAACACTGTGAAATAGTGTAAAATTGTAGTTTATTTTATAATGTGTAATGGTGAAACAATTGTTATTGTTTAAAACAGACATGTTTTCCTGTAAAAGGTCACATACATCGTATAATTGATATTTGGATGGAATATTATTGAGTGCACTATTTTATAGAGATGTTTGTTGACTATTTCAGGTTGTCCTACCTTTCCTCACTGAATCCTATAGTTCTTCTCAAGATCCTCCAGAAAAGTCTATTCCAATATGCACCTTAAAGAATTTTCCAAATGCAATAGAGCACACGCTACAGGTGAATTCCTTTTCTTGTGACAAAGCATGTTTTAATAATGTACAAATTCCAATGGTTAATTAGAAAAATAGCACTGGTGATGATGGTGAATAAAACATCAGTATGTTACCCTTAATAACAAATGGCTATTCCTGATATAGTATCTAATATATGTTTCATATTAGTGGGCCAGAGATTCCTTTGAAGGATTGTTCACAATTCCAGCAGAAAATGTCAATCAATACGTCTGGTAAATATCATTTGATGTTGATGTTCTGTCTTTGTTGTCGTTGATGCTAATATCGACTAATATCGTATCTTGCTAACAGTGACCCAAAGTTTATTGAAAGAACTGATAAATTACCTGGAATGCAAGCTGTAAGTAGATAAATATCTTTTTTCTTTTTGGAGATACAGATTTTATCTTCTCTTGTTGAAAATCTCTCACTTATTTTCTTCACTCWTTTCAACACTTGAAGATAARATTTGTATCTCTGCGCGCCYATGTAATATCCTCTATTTTATCTTATCATAAGCAAGCAGTTTTATTATTAAAATGATACAGTGTTATATGTCAATTTTTCTTGTATTGCAATATCAGGTTGAAGTTTATGAAACTATAAAGAAAGCATTAGTAGATGAAAGACCAAAAGAGTTCAGTGACTGTGTTGCATGGGCACGACATCTTTTCCAGGATTATTTTCACAATACAATCAAACAATTGCTGTTTAACTTCCCAGCAGATCAGGTATGTTYGTTTCAGGAGGAGGTTCAAGGAAAATGAAAAGTCTTTATCTTACTTTATCACAATAAATATTTTCTTCTTATCAGTTATATTCTAGATATATAATTTATGTCAATTTTCTTATAGTTGGTATTAATGTTTTTGTTGTCAGTGTTGATTTTGCTTAACTTTGAGTAAATTTTGTTCATTCATTAAAATAATACTTTTCTTGCTTAACCCTAATAATTATTAATCTATTAATAATTATTTTTAATAATTATTAATTACTAATATTTATTGTATTATCCAGTTAACATCATCAGGACAACCATTCTGGTCAGGACCCAAAAGGTGTCCGCATCCAATAATMTTTGAACCACGACAGGTAAGCCCTACATTTGCAAATYATCTGAATTGCATTTTATCAAWAGACAAACCATTTTGTTTTCTTTTAGGCTACCCATATGGACTTCATAATGGCTGTCGCTAATCTCAGGGCATATATGTTTGGTATTCCTGGTAAGTTTACCATAATGACTTCAATCATTAAAAACGTGACTAATATTTATGAACTTTATTTAGGTTCTAGAGATCCAAAACTTATTCTTGATATCTTAAAGTCYGTCAAAGTTCCTGAATTTGTTCCCAAATCAGGTAATTTGAACAATGTAACTTATTGCATGAATTGTTTATTATTGTAGAAAAATTTCACTGTTGCTATTCTATCAAGTTATCAATTACTATTTTTTTTCCCCGTTAGGACTAAAGATTGCAACAACAGATCAAGAAGCTGAAGCAGAGAGGAATGCATCAGGTATAGTATTTTAATACTAAACATTAAAACTACATTAAAATGTTGAGATCATTTGGGTTTTTTTGTACCAATTGTAATTGTGAAAACTTTTTTTAAACATTTTTATGAACAATGATTGAAAGAAAAATAAGAGAAATGATTTTATTGTAATGGATTATTATTGTGGCGTTGTGCATGTGATGTCGAAGCACCTTTATTTGAAGGAAAAAACAAAAAATGTTTGCTCTCTTGGGAACTAGAATCCATGGTTTTGTCCTCCAGTTGGAGGTGCATTCCTACGAACTGCAAGAGGTCTATATTCACCTGACAATCTTGTCATTATTTGTTTACTTAATTGTTTATGTTGTACTAATGTTGATTATTTGTGTTCTTTTAGGAGATATTGACATTGATGACATGAAAACAGGTATTCCTTCACCTGACACAATCAAGAGTTTCAAAATGAATCCCGTTGAATTTGAAAAGGTTAGTTATTAGTATCATAATACTAGTATTCAAAAGATATATTTGAATTAGCTTTAACATTCTATACAGTTGCTTGTTACRCTGCCTTGTAGGTGAATGTTTCTTGTCTGTTTTAAATTTCAGGATGATGACAGCAACTTTCACATGGACTTCATTGTRGCAACATCCAACCTTCGTGCAGAAAACTATGACATACCTCCAGCTGACAGGCATAAGGTTGGTTGATTTTCTGTCTTTCCTGTATGGCTCCCTTAACTCCCCCATTTCTTCCTTACTTTCTCTTCTCCTTCTCCATGTCATCTAAAATTTTCTGCTTTCTTCTTTTCCATTTTCTTTCTATTTCCATATTTTCCAATATATTCTTTGTTCCCATTCTTTCCTACCTTTCATCCTTCTGCTCGGCTTATTTTATCTTTGCCATTTCATAAATCTTCTTTAGTTGTGCATCCTTTCTGCGTCATAAAAGCACATGAAGAACATGAGCTTCAACAGCAGTATTATTAAKAATATTTCACTGAGTCCTGCACTTTTCTCTGCTCTGCCATTTTGCCGCATGTGCTTCAAGTTTGCATGAAAGTTTTCCTTTGAGAGTTTTTTTTCCATTTTAATTCATAACATTTGAATTTCCTCACTACAGAGTAAATTGATTGCTGGTAAAATCATCCCTGCTATTGCTACAACAACTGCCATTGTCAGTGGTCTTGTAGCTCTGGAACTCTATAAGGTTGGTGTTTCTTCACATATCTAAATAATAATGGCCCTTGCTCCTTATGACGTCATTTCCTGGTGAAATGCACTATGGGATTGAARTACCAAATAAAGTCATGTCACGTTGTTGCGTGCATAGTTGCGTGTCAGCATTACACATTGTTCAGATTGTTTTTAAGTGCTTTATGTATGTCTTATGAAATGTTCTTGTGAATTATTATGATCGTTCCAAACGCCCAATTCATTTCAAACACCTGCCATCTCGGCACTTTATCGATGGCATGATGCACTTCGCTAAAGCGGCGTCGAACACATGTGTGTAGACATAGTTAATGGTGTAGAGGGCCATTATCATTTTTAACGACCAAAGTGTCATTCATGTGTAGTATTTGATGTATTAAATCATTGATTGATCATTTTTTGTGTAAACATTACTCTAGATCATTCAAGGYAGTAAAAATCTAGAAACGTTCAAGAATGGATTTATCAATCTAGCACTGCCGTTTTTTGGTTTCTCTGAACCTATTGGTGCACCTAAGAATAAGGTAAGTACATCCTACCCTCTAAGTCAAGCATAATCCGCTTAAGTGTTGTCAAAATGTTATATTCACATTCTATACAGCTATTTTAAAAAGGTTGTTTGAGAGAGCAGCGATTGCTTAACGAATGAGAAGCTGTGGGTATTCAATTTTTGACGGATGATGAACGCTCATCAGGTGGGAAAAAAAAACGACAATGAAAACGACAGTGGCTTAGAAGTTTGACGATTATTGCCATCAAATACCCACAGTGCCTTTCGGTCGTGTAATTCGACTTTCTCTCCTTACATCCTTATTAAAACCAGTTCGTCGGACAGATCGGAGAGTCCGTGAACAAATGAGTCTTGGTGTATCAAGCACATAAGCAAAACTATGAAAACTATCGTTTCGATCAAACGAAGATAGGAATATAAACTAGGGATAACTTGTATTGTTTTTGTTAGTATTATGACACAGAATTCACGCTTTGGGATCGTTTTGAAGTACAAGGAATAAAAGATAATGGTGAAGAAATGACGCTTGGAGAATTTATGGACTACTTCAAGGTATGTATCACATTATAGCTAGTTTCAATCTTTTTTCACGCACTTGTCACTACCCACCCTGGTCCTGGAGATTTTTTCGCAGTCATACAGTACTCTCCGAATCTTCCATGACTGTATCCACKGTATCTTTCGCAAATATACAAGGATACAGGGTAGAGTAAAAGAGAAGCTGCTAGAACCATCAACCGAACATGATTGTATACATAGAATTAAAATGCAAGCAATCAGGTTGTAACAATGACTTTTGTTGTATTCTAGAATACTCATCGTCTAGAAGTTACAATGCTGTCTCAAGGTGTTTGTATGTTATATTCGTTCTTTATGCCTCCTGCCAAGCTCAAAGAAAGACTAGCGCAAAAGTAAGTTGTGATATCCAATCACATYGTTGCTGCTAACTCCCCCAGTCCTCCCACCTCCCAGGTAGTTTTAAGCTTTGACTTCTGGCTAATCTGGGGCTAACTAGGGCATCAGTTTATATCCCGGGAGTAGGRAAATTCAAAATGCCAACTAGATATCATTTTGGCGATTCAGAARTCCAARGAGTGTTCCCTAAAGCAAGACTKCCAGTTCATGTAATGTTTATKTTTGTTTACAGAGTCAGTGAGGCYGTCGTCAAGGTTTCCAAGAAGAAAATCAARAATCATGTAAAACACCTCGTGCTGGAGCTGTGCTGCAATGACGAGGATGACGAGGATGTCGAGATTCCTTACGTGCGCTACTCTTTTCGCTAATGTATTTGTGTAATAGCTGGCCTATGCCATACCGTAGGAGCTCAAAAATATTAAAATATGTAGTTTGTGTTCAGTTCTGCAATGTATTCTRTCCTCCATTTTGCATAGATTAAAGTTGRTGTGTTGTAAAAGCACTAACTGAATCTATCATGTTCAGAAATCAAACCATTCTAATTTAAAATTGCGCCCGCCCTCGAGGGAGGTGATTAGTCGGTTCCTGGTCAATTTGTGACTAACCCCTTTTGGTTTGCATCTCTTTGGAGCATATAATTGTAGTCTATATTTAGGTGCGCAGGATCCCTTCGGATTCGGGACAATTATAGCTAGAATAAAAAATGAAAAGAAACATATCCTTGTTCAGTAACCGATATCTATAATTGAGAGGTTTGAAAGTATGTTTTGTAGRCCGTGTKTATCCGTAGTGCTTTATTAAGTGTAGTCAGGAATTGCGAAGTTGCCGAGTGAAAAAATTATGTTGCAGCAGAGTTTCTTTGGAGGCCATAAGGGTCGGCAGGACTATCAGAAAATGTGTTTTCCCTATTGAATTGACAAGGAAGTCTCATTTAAAGACTCTGTCTCCCAAAGAAGGGGGTTCCGGAGCGCATGGACCTAATGCCGATAACGAGTGTGTAGGTGCAATGTGCAATTCCTTTGCAAGTTTCAATTTGGTACAATACTACGTTACTTAATTACAGTACAATTCYACAGCATCATGAAGATGGTGACGAAATTGCAACACAGCCAAACAGTACAAACTTTCGCCATGGATTCCCCTCCGCCAGCAACTACACCATTTTCTTTTCAACATTTTTATTAATCTCAATGTAGACCCGAACCTACATGAATTTTATTCATGATATTAAGAACGTGTGTGGCTAATGTCGAACATCAGCATCAATTGGTTTTTCAGACAGGCATTTTTGCATTTGTTCAAATTTTCCGTTGGCTGCCTCGATACATCTTTCCATTTTCAACAACGAGTTCTTGATCTAGAAGTTACAAGAAAAAAAATTCTTAATCAGACATACCTAAAAGTCACAACCCTCAACAATCCCATACAGAATTACCTAGCATAAATTATAATTATTGTAAAATCATTAATACCTTCAGCACGCAGTTGTTCATGAACTGGATAGAACACATTGCACCCTGRGTCGGGTCATTCTGGAAGCATTGTTTCCAGTATGGCTTAATTGCAGACCTAGAAAAAAAAAAGAAAAAAACGACTTTATGTTTACATGGTATCTTTTGTAAGCAGAACTTATCGGGCTAGAACCCATGCGGCGCAAAAYTCTAATATCTGCGTGTATAGAAGACGTATTCTGAGACGTAATCAAAGTGGATAGGATATACGCCATATGGTTGACCTGTATCTTCCTATATCTCCCATTGTCGCCATTGTCAACTACAAATTATCAAATGAATAGTGTACATGCATAGAATACTAGGTAACTCAGAAAGTTTATGGTACGGTATSGTAATAAAGACTCAGTCAATCTCGCCGTACCGAGACAGTCATGAGATATTCCTAACTGGGTGATTGATTTGCGACCAGGCCTGCATATGAATTCGCCAACGTTGTAAGCCAGTGAGCCCGTGCATTTTTGTTAAGCGGTCATATTTGAAAGTGTAAATAAAGGAAAGGGAAAACCCGCAGCTCTCCTTTCACTCAGATAAACAGTACAAGTCGTGCTAAATTTATTTACATAACTAAACAAAATGATTATAGAATTAAACCTTTAAGAATTGAATGCTCATATGAAACTTTTTCCACCTTAAATACACACGTGTTTTTCAGAAGGGAATTATTTAGTGGAACTTTTTTCACGATGGAATTTTGTTTTGAGTCGTTTCGCAACATAAACAGTCGCTATCAAGACATTACACGAAAAACCCCAGTCACCGTTCTAGCTCTCGTTGTAAGGTCAAATCTAGTAAATGTGTAACCGACCTGTTACATAACGTCAACCTGTTGCTTGCGGCTTATTGCCGAAAATGCGACAAAGGATGAACTACGACAGTTGATTTGTACCAAAAATATTAAACGCTTTAACTCTATTGGAATGCGTGGAGCTAAGCTGCTCTAGCTTTTTCAGTGATGTTGTAGATACCTCAAAGCTTAGAGGAAACAAGAGCTAAGAAAAAGGATTTGCAATGGTTCCTCCTAAGATACTTTGAACGTCGCTTCAACGACCTTCTGAAGCCTTCGTGAAGTTGGCCATTGCTTCGCATGCAATGGAGAACCCGCGTAGAACACAGACCAATTATTTTTATCAGAGAGGGGAGTCTCTTGGTATTAAAGAAAAAAATATTTGTTATTTCATTGATAAAATTCTATTTCTATAACGATAAATATTTGATTGACATTTAATAAAAGCTATTTTATAAAGATTTTCAATTTCTCTTTGCGTTTTAGCTTTGATTTTTCGGACAGAATAAAATGGCAGGCAGCCTACTCTACTGGGTCGAGTTTTGCTGTGCAAATTCCTCCHGTCGGRGGGTTATGTTTACAACATAAGCTTGTCAGCTTTGCGCTGATTGGCTAGTCGCATTTTCTCAAATCACCCAGAACCGTTGCGTCGCTGAAATGCATGAAACCTGTTGCAAATAAAAGGATAAGAGTTAGACTCTAACAGTATAGAAAGGTTTGCCTGAAACGCCTCCGAGGAAAACTGAAAAAGAAATACCAATATTCAAAACTTCTGTAAGTTTTCCATCATTTTACTTTGTATTATTTATCTTTTCATTATTTTTTATTAATTTTGTCTAGTGATGCATGCCAAACGACATTCTTTCATAGAGGAAATTACATAGTGAACCACTATATCTAATGAAAAATTACCCGCAATAGGAAAGGACAGGCCATCGATAGCTGAGCAGAATTGTGTTGTTCTGTGCTTTTGTACAATCCTTTGGCCAATTACTTCAAGATGTCACTTTAAATAAATAACAAATGATTTCATTGCATAGAATGAATATCCTTGTCATTCTGACGACGTTACTTTCATAGCCGCGAAATGCAGCTGATAACAKTGTTCTGTTTCTTTATTTTTTCTTTTTTGTATACTATTGAGAGAATGACACCTTTCATTCAGTGATCGTTTATAATTATACCCTCAATTYATCATGGTTTCAATAACAATACCGTTTCCAGGCCGAATATAGCGACTTCATTTATTTATTTTTATTCATATTTTATATAAGTCCCAGGTTCGGTCTTCGACTCGAGCATGTCTGAAAAATTATATTATTTCTCTTTTCTTTCTTCCTTTTTATAACTCTAAAACCTTTTTCAAATTCTTAGAGTATAATGCGAATGTAATCCGAATGCTAAATTTTCGCTGCAATGATAAAAATATTCAGAAGAAATGATGGGGAATGATTATACGCAGAATCTATTAGAGCGGATTTCGTATGAGTGGGAAACGGACGGTACTGTACTGTGACCGTAATCGTACTGTAACCAAATTCTAGTGCCCCATTGTTTCACCAAAATTCTGCAGGACAGGTGCGGTAACTGTGCGGCAACCTTGCGGTAACGGTGTGCCACTCATRCGAAATCCGCTCTAAATCAATAATGGTACAGATAAAAACACGGACACGGTGCATGTGTTCCAGAAGGTGATTCTCGGTAATTCAGCTCTGCTTAGTTTTTCTTAAGGTACTTTATTTTTATAAATTTTCATGGATAATAAATCGATGTCCCATGATGATCAAAACTAAAAACGAGAATGTCATTTGTATTACCTTTGCGCCCCATGCAGATTCGGGTGTACACCCAGAGGTACTTTTATGAATGACAAATCGCTTTAGMACTGTGTTAGTTTTGTTCTTGAGCGGGCACACGCAACTGAAATCATGATTGAACMTAAATCGGCCGTTTACAGCCACAGTTAGGGCAACTAGTCCAACAATAATGACAGCCTTCATTGCTAACGATCAAACAACAAAATGATTTTCTAGCTTTATGTAGGTAGTATATAACTAGGCGAGGAGCGGAGGAGCAACCAATGAGAAGCGAGATCTCTGACGGCGTCGCCTGGAGTCCATAACTATGGCAGTGTCGCGTTGGATTCAGTGAAGGAGGACAGCGTGCTTTACACTTCAAATTGCAATATGTCTAGCTACCACTTTCGGTTCAGTGTCTGAAAACAGAAAAGTTTGGATTTCGTGAGCGTATCTCATTATTGTAGTATGCAGGGGCTCTCGATATGAAGCAATCSTTAATGATCTGCCTTCTAGAAAGACGAATCATCTGCTCCGCAACACGACGTCCGTAAAGAACCTATAAAAACAATCAATCGTTTATAACATTATCACTTATGGAAATTGACTAATATTACAATAAGCTTTATTTCAACAATGTATTGACCGTCTGTCGGCGAGATCATTGTCAAGACAAACATTACATTTGTGGGTGGCATGGGTGGTCTAGCATGGTTAAGCTGCTGGCCTGTCATCGCTGTGGTCCGGGTTCGATTCCCGAGCACGGACCATATGTGAGTTTGAGTTTGATTGATGTGTTGTTCTCTTCCTTGCCACGACGGTTTTTCTCCRGGTCCTCCGGTTTTCCTCCCTCAGTAAAAATCAACATGTGAGGAGTGCAGTGTGCTAAAATACTTAATGTAGAGGTAGTGAGTGTGAGAGTACAGGGTCCGAAGTAATTGGCTCACGCTGTTGCGGTGTCCCTGCCCATACTTGGGAAGAGCTAAATAAATAAATAAATTACTCAAAATCCTGCTCTCGGTGAGCTCAACTRATGGCCGCCTCCCAGCAAGCAACGAGACCTTCCCCAACGGCAAATGTAAATCTAACGGCATAAATATACCACTCAAAGTTGGGTGAGCCAAAAATTGACTGCACATTTTGCCCGTGCGTTAACACTTCTTTCCCTTTGTAACAATGCCTATTCTCTTATAGCGTGACTGCAAAGGTTTCATAACAATGGCCAAAAAATGACAATGAACAGTCTGGGACGAAAAGCGTACCCACTGCTGCGACATTTTCCATAAGTCTAAGCGTACTCGAAAGAAGCTCGACCGGTGGAATTAACAAGCAGTTTTCATTCTTCCATRACAAAAGGGCGTCAACCCGCGCGCAGCCTGGTTTCCAAAACCTCGAGAAAAACTTCGGTACTTATACTCAATTCACTCCTGAGCGAGTATAAAAATGTTTTTACCGGCCTGAACTGCATGCATTCACACAATAAGAACAGACTAATTTTTCAAATAACACTAAACAAAAGAGCAATTTCACACTAAACACTATAAAATAAGGCTTTATAACACTCATCAAAGAAGGGGCGGGCATCTCGTTTATTCATGCATAATAGTCTGACAACTGAGAAAGGCTTATACATGCACATAGACAAAGTGGTCATATACAAAACAAAAACGGCATAGTGTGACTCTCAACTGTCTGAAAAGATAGCTTTTGACATGTATAATGAGGTTAAACAAGCTGACAGACAAATAGCCCCCCAAGGGGGAAAAAGACAAAGTTAAGCGACCAACTAGCAGCTGTTAGACCTGTTAGTTAGGAGTATATTCAACGAAAAAATTTTTTTTGAACGATATGACTCACATCTTAAATACTGTGCATGAAAATACGCGGGGATGGTTATTCTAAACTTCGTTTTAGTCACTTATACACGTGCTTAACACCCGTCATTACGCTCACTCGGTAAATCCCGCACCGTAAATAAATATATTTTTGCATTGTAATAAGTTGCAAAACAATCTATTTATGTACGGATGGACTCATGCTTCTAGTCATCAATTTCAACAATTTCACTAGCAGCGTCAACTGTAGCGTTAGCTTTCTCCTTTAGTGTTCTCGAAATACATTCGATGGACAAATTGAAGTCATAATGTACAAACGGAATTCAAAAAGTCTTAATCGCAAGACAGTGCGAAGGTAACTTGAGAGAGTTCATCGTTGATTTTCGAGCTTCAAGTATAGTTCTATAGTTAATTTTAGACGTTTTTCCCTCTTTAAGTACATAAAATTAGATTTTGTGCCCCCTGGATTCTCAACCCCACCTTCCTGATAAATATTGCGCCGTCCCTAAGAATCTACTGTGAGTCTCGACTCCTATTGGTGTGGGTGTGTGGGGAAGGGGGGGATGATACTATTGTGATTTTAAAATGTCTGGTGAGAATGCAGCACAGTTGCCCAAATACGGCGCTTAACGAAACGATTGATATATTACCGTGATGGACGCCAATTTTACCAATTTTTACACAATCTTGTACTTAGAGTCCGCGTAACTTTTAGTCTGCGATAAAGAACTTGGGCGCTGGTACGGGTACGAGATTGACTAAAAAGTCAGTTTTTGTACCTTTATGAACCATGACATTCTTATCAAATGAACATCAGCATATCAATTGCTATTAATTTYCCGAATATGATATATTACGAATATCCGGCCAGTTTCTCCAGTTACTGAGTATTTTATTACGTTGGTCTTCCTGTGGAGTTTTAGAGCCCGCAATATTTTTGACCAAAAGGGCCGTTGTTATGGCAACAAAGCAGAAAGCAACTACGAGAGAAGAGAAGAGATTTTGATGAAGTGTTGTGTTTTTCTTGTGTTTTCGGCAATTTGAGGTAGCTTTACAATAGAATGTCTACACCAGATGAAGCACAAGCAGYTGCAGAAGAAAAAGACGCTGAAAATGAAGGAGAACAACAAATAGAAGCGAACAAAGATGAAGAAGAGAAAAACACTCAACAACCTGAAAATGGTGAAGTTGTAGCGCACAACGAGGATGAAAAATCCGAACAAGAACAAAATATAGAAACAGAAGCGAAAAAGGATACTGAACCAATGACTGATGGTGCTGAAAATTCATTAAATAAGGGCATTTCGGGACAAAACAATGAAGAAAGTCAATCTAAAGAGTTTGTGGAAGGGATTTCTGGAGAGGTCCAMGAATCRTCAATGCAAACCGAAGGAAGAGAAACTCCGAATAAGCCTGATATCTCACAASTTCAGGGTACAGATAGTGAACCTCATTTAGTCGCCCCTCCAGTATCTAATACTGATGCACCAGCTAAAACAACTGGTGAAAGCTTTGATGTCCAAGGTAAAGATGTTTTGCTTGACTTGTCAGAATGKCTTTGGATCAAAACGTGATAGTGTTATATTACATGACATTTAGAATTTAAATAACTTTTTTGTTGTTTTCAGTCAAATTTGTGATAATGCCTGAGGGTGAAGTCCTAACTCTAACATGCAGTGATAAGCAAGGGATCTCTGAGYTAAGGGATCATCTGTCGGCAGAGCTTGGGCAGCCACCAAATGTCATTCTTATGCTTCATGATGGTAATTGTATATTATTATTTATATAAAAAGATTCATCTATAACAGTAGATCATTTTCAAACAAAACTGTTGAATGCTTAATGGTTTTCTTTCTCACAAGTGAGAAGTTTTTGTTCACATGTACCAGGGCCGGGATGTTCAAATCCCGATTAGCGTTAATCCAGGGTTAACTCCAAAGCTTTTAATTTAAAAAGTTAACCCAAGATTAGCGCTAATCGGGCTTTGAACAACCCTGCCCAGCCTGTTACAACGTACATGTACAACATTCATGGCTTTGCTTTGGAGCAGTCAATCTTGTTCRGTTAGATATTCAAAATAGATGATCCAATATTCCATGCTAGCCACTCWAGAATATCAAAGATGTAGCTAGAAATTGTCTGTTCTAGCAGCCTTCAAAATCTTTCAATTGATATTCTACTGTACGTAGGGATTACAAAATTTGTACTTTGAAAAAGTTACAGGTTCTTTGATTCCTAGATTTATATTCAAGGTCTTGGAACTGTTTTCAAAAAAATTTTCTTATAGAGGTGCTCATATTTGTAAACCTGGAAACCAGCAAAAGTTTGACAAAATCATAGTCTTATAACCTCATTCTCAGTGAATTAAAGTGGTRTGTATTTAACACTTYAGACAAACTGCTAGAGGATAAGGGTTCACTGTCTGATATTGGCCTCCAGCCTGGACAAACRCTTCAAATAGAGTTACAATCAAGCGATCCTATCAATCATGCATTAAAAACACAGCCACCCCAAAAAYCACAAGCTAAATTGCCACCATTTATTACAGTTATGGCTGAAAGGGGTGAGTTAATGTGTTATGATTTCAAAATTRCACTTTTATTTTCAGAAACATATTTTAAAAAAAGAAGTTTGTTTCATTAGTTGTGACAGTTTTAACTTAAATAAAAATAACTTTGTTTTAACATTTTTAAAAATCATTTGATTTTAGATGGMAAACCACTAGAAATCAGATTAGAAATAATCCAAGAAAACAGAAAGAAAACATTTCTTGGTGGATTCAAGCATAGACTGACAGGTGTGGAGTACCACAATGCTTCAGTACAAACAGTGCCCAAGATAAGAGTTCCTTCACCAGTTGAGAGATTTCACAGGGATACACAGACATACAAGCTTAGAAACAGGACACAACAGACCACTAATACAACGTCAACACAGATGGTGAGAGTACTGCACGTTKCATGAGTCATTTTCACATGAAGTAAATGCTATACCATTATATGCCATCCATGCATGGACCTGGCATCCAGGTCAATTATGAAGGGGAGACACAATGCCACAAAATGGCAAAAAATAGGGGGAAATATCAATATAGCAACCTAAAATATAAAAATAAAAATATCACTAGTAAACGCAGAGGACTCATTTATTTTTTAGAAATTATGCCTGCGTACAAAGAAATTCTAAACCTAAAATGTGTTAGTAGAGGACATGTACCCCACCTCTAACATGCATTGACCTTGGTAGTGGTTGATAATTGATGTTCAAGTGTATGTYGCTTTCTTGAATAGGAAATGAATTGGCAAGATAATATTGGTTGAAGCATTTTGATGCTAACAATTCAACACTAACAACATCATACATGTACTAGGAATGTTTTGTTTAGATTTAGTACTGAACCCCTGATTACATTATGTTTCAGACAAAGGAAGGGTGTTATGTATCCAATGTAACAGACAAAGTCGTCCGGCCTGGCAAATATGAGACCGCAGATGAATATCATTCAAAAAGACTTGAAAAGGTAATGAACACCGTGAAAATAGTAATAAAATGGAAATTAGATTTGTTCATAATTTTTCACATTGTTTCAGTTATTTGCAAAAAAATGATAGTCATCCTCAAAAGCTATAGATATGTGAAAAAGTGAATTGTAATCTTTTTTTGATAATGCAGCATTATTATAATAATATAATATGTTAAACTTATATAGCTTTCTATAAGTGCTTCAAGGTAAAAGTTGAAATATAAAAAACAAAATGAAAAAAAAGAAAATGATAATTATTAGAACATTTGATAAAATTGTTAAAATTTGGTTAGCTGCGCTCCAACAGTCAGAAAATATCTTCCCTKCTTGGATATACAAATTATGTTTATTTCCATATTTTTACAAGGCTTGTATGAAGTTATATTATAAGTTAGTAGATAAAAATGCATATGTTTTAAGTAATGCGAATGGTACATGTATAAGTATTAATAAAATATATATGATATTGTCTTGACTAAAACAACCCTGTGTTCTCTGTAGGTGCTTATTTTACAGACTTACTGGAGAAGGTGGCTTGCACAAAAATATGTGGAAAATCTAAGAGCGGATAAAACACGAACAGAAGARTGGGAAAGACAGGAAGAACTGAGAAAACAAAGAGAAAAGGCTGAGAGGATAAAAAWAGAATGGGAGCGACGCTTGAATCCAAAGACTAAAGAAGATTTTGATCTGCTTTACTCACATTTAGAAAGTATGCAAAAGAATCAGATCACAATGAATAAAACGATGATTAAATATCGATATATATTATTCTTAAAATAGAATGGCGGCAAGAAGAAATGGCAAGAATCGAGGAGTTGTACTCTGGTCCAGAGCGCAAGGCTGCATTAATAGGTCTAGTYGAACAAGAAGCATATCTTATTGCATCCATTGACAGACACAAGATTGCCGCAAGTACAGAAAGTACAGACAAGAAAGTCAAGTCATTCCTTGATAAAGTAAGAAATGCTTCATTTTAATGGCAAAACTGGTTCCTGTTTTTGCCGGGGTAGCAAGCGTTTTGTTTACAGAAAGGGAGAAAAAACCTTAAAAAGCGTTTTGGAGATACATGTTTATGAACACGACAAAATTTTGAAATTGCCTCATGAATTCTGTCCGGGAACGCGCCGATATATATATATATATTTTTTTGCGGCCAAAAACGTAAAAATGTCCTCTTCATACAGAAATACACGCTAACTATCTCTGTAAATTTAAGGAGTTTTCTCTGGTTTCTCCCATATTCCCGCCATCAAACTGTAACTAAGTGTTGGGATTATTGTGTGTTGTCAGTAAGTTCGTGTTGTTATGGGGAAACTCTGCTTGCGTTAAGGGCTAAATTCTAAGAATTTTAGTTCTTACGTTACTCATTGTATGGTACTTATAGTGCCTATTAATATTAATATAAATAATAATATAATGATATTAATTTTGTATAAAGATATTAATTTTGTTGACTTAATCACAGGCCGCTGCACCAAAGAGATGGAGAGCCTTTGATGGCAAGGTCACCGAGATGGACACTCCCTATACAATCAGAGCACAAGAGCTGCGAGATATCTATAATACACTATCAATGAAATACTTGACTCAGGATGAACGACTTGATGTACTCCTYACTTTAAAGCATACAGTCAAGGAGCATGAYTGTAAACTTACTCATGAAATAATCGAATTGATCGACCGAGAAGCAGACCTACTAATGCGAGGTGTAAAGGAAAATAACTTAGAAGGTAGGTTTGATGGTTTGATGCTAAGATCGCCGCATAGTGCATCTCTAAGGGAAGGATTTGCTTTATTTCCAGGTCTTCGTAAAAGAATCTCCACTCTTTTCCTGCAATATTGCAAGACTCCGCTGTTCAATCCTGAGGCAGCACGCCTTATCAAGGTAATAAATGAACGATCGAATAGATGAGAATTACTTAAAAGTAGTTGAATAGATGGATGGATAAGGGGATGAAAGCATTGAATAACTAAAAGCAGTGGCTAATGAATAAATGAGATGGTTGRATAAATAAATGGGTGTATTGAAAAAATGAAAGTCTAAATGAGAATATTCGTTTCATCTAGGTACCTCAAGACCCTTCAATATTGAGAAAGAACATTTACTTCTGTCCAAGCTGYAACCGATATTTGCCCTCGACAGAATTTAAACTATCGTTGAACTCAAGGTACGCACACATCATCATTGATTAATAATAAATATTACGTTTTAAACGAGAATTTTTGATTTGTACACAGCGTTGTAGGGCGTTGTCGGAAATGCCTCAAGCTGGACAATGATGCTCGATTACGACAAGACTTRCTCCAATATAGAAACATGCTAACCGAGCTACGACGATCCGAGGAAGATGTCGAGGACGGATCGAAAATTTCATATCTTATACAGGTTTGTAATAATTACATTAGCTTACTATACTGAAGATATATATCAAAGAATGGARTTAAACATTGCACATCGATTGCGTTCCACATGCTCCTTAAATGTTTGATCCGGATGTACGGAAGATTTCCATAGAGATTTGTACTTTCTAGCCTGCTTATAACAACAGTTTTGGTTCGGCTGAACGTAGACTATGTATTTTCAAACGCACTAAAAAACTATATAACTGATAATAATAATAATAAAACGATAGAAAAACGTACCAACGTGACGAAAACCCGGGTGGGGGGGGGGGTACTCCCATATATTTGCTATACGGGGACGTGCCGCTGGCCAGGGTATGGTTTTTGGCCTTGCTGTGTGTCTTTTGTGTGTCTTGGGCAGGGTAATATTTTCATAACACCGTAGAAATACCGTTTCACTGTCCGTTTCACTGTCCCGGGGGGGTCGAAAACTAATCAGAGAAAGGCTGACGTAGAAGGATGGACCAACTTCAGTATTTTTATCTTTTTTGCGAATTATAATTCATCTTTTAGTACGACTGTTAGAAGYCGCTTAGTTTAACGCTAGCTATCATGGTCTCTATATTAGGAACCAGACCTGCGCTACCTGGTCGAGAATATCTGGAATTCCCAGAGTGCATTGAGTGCACATGACGATTTGTTTGACCTTGTGTTGGTGAGATGGAACAAGCACGAAGAATGGTCGCCRTGGAATTGTATCTTGCTGACTAAGGAAGAGGCTACAGCTCACAAGAAACTKGAAAATGTTACGGAGGTACGTTAATTGTAGAGATATTAACCATATGCTTACTTATCTATTCCACACTCAATTGTAATCTCGTGATACAAAAAAGGCGGAAGCGATAATAATCAACTCTTGTTTTAAGGGACACCTTCGAACCCATAATAGACTGGGTACCAGGAGTTGTGATSTTAATGCCCTTTCTMAGAGTTTCTTTGGAGGCCATAAGGTTCTGGCTATGATACATGTAGCAGGCTGCACACACGATACATTGTCACCAGGGTGTCTCCTTGGGGGGCTAAACGTCTAACCTACAAGCGAGCGATTAAAGTAGCAGCAATAGCGAGTGTCCGCTTTAGTAATTTGTTTGAAGCAGGGGTAATTGAAGTTCAGGCAATATCTTGTGTCCAAAAAGCGAGATCTGACTGTCCTTGTAATGGAGCGGCTGCACTGGAGGCTATAAGGGATGTGTATAATAACGATTTATCATTTTATATTGTGATTATATAAATTATAATTTTTTTTTACAGGCTTATGGACGTATGTTCATTGGAAAGATTTTGCACAAACATCTGTTGGCCAGGAACTATTTCTCACGWTTACCAGGAATGGCTGAACACATGAAGACTAAAATCACAGGCAATCGTTACGCCCCGCAGGCCGTGCGATAAATTACTAGCTGTAAATATAGAATTGGTATATAGTCATTACTGATGTTAATAAACTCATTTATATAATTGGTGTAAATGCTATTTGACCGGTGGACTGGTTTACCGTGGGCTAAAGATACTGTAAGGCACTGTACAATTCACACATCTGCAATTTGTATCTTAACAACATGAAATATTCTCAGAAAATTGCAAACCGACGAAGGGTTAGGGTTATTGCGAGGAAGGTTGGCTTAGCTGCTGCAAGTCGGTGCGTTGCTACGCAAAAAAAAAACAAAAAAAAAAACAAAAAAAACTTTCTATTCACCATGGATTTCCCTCCTTTCAAATTAGATAACTACATCATTTTCTTTGTAACATTTTTATTATTCCCAATGTAGACCCTAACCTACATCTATTGTATTTATAATATTAAGAACGTGTGTTTAACGTCGAACAGCAATTGGTTCAGACAGRCATTCTTGCATTTGTTCAAAGACTCCGTTGGCTGCTTCGATACATTTCTCCATCTCTTCCAGTGAGTGCTTGATCTGGAAATAACAAGGAAAAAATTTGTAATCAAAGATAATCACCTTTCATTGTTTCTTCGAGCTTTTTGGGCTTCCTTTTTTGAAGGTTGGGATTCCTGTGTTCTTGTTATGGAACTGTTCAAAATGGCGGATGAATGGGGCAGTAGTCTCTTGTATTGCAATGCGACATATCTACTTAAATTTTCATTTCGCCACTTTGGTTTTCCTTTTGACTTCAAGGTTAGTATCAAGACTACCAAATATCAAAACCTGAAGGAATACATCGTTTCAGAGTTCTAGCAAATGACATATATTTGTAGCTGTGTTAGCAAAGTTCTAAGATACTGATACAAGCTCATTCAGGCTTCGATACTCGATAAAAATTGCTCAGCGTTAACTACTTTTTTGTATTCTTTATAATGGGCAAGCACACATTTGTCAGGGAGTTATGTAGGTAGAGTTGTGAAGCCATATGAATCGATAGAGCAAGATACCGCAGAGTGGGCAGAGTTTTGATTTCATACAAACGCGCGGTAATTCCGTTCATATCTTGCCTCAGGAATTTCAGGACCACCATTTTTTAATTTCATAGAAAGAAACTCAAAGTATCAGTACACTGATGAATTTTAAAAGACGTCTTGTAGAAAAAAAAGATGCAAAAAGTGATTGCATTGCCTTGATAAACTTGTAACCAACTCGCTCGCGTTTCCAAGAATTTCCCGCGCTTTTTTCGCAACATGTTCATTCATTGCGTACATTCTTGCTGCTGGCGGAACAGTCCTCGCGGTTGTCCATACAGGACTTAGCTCAGACGACCATGTAAATTCACCGATTTGGCTCGGTTTAATTATATTCATATTTAACGAAGTTATAACTAAACTATAATCACCTCTAGTCGTTATAAAAAAAGCTTATATCTGTTATATGACTTTTTCAACGTGATTCCTTAATACTACCCGCGGTATTTGCCAGATTTTTTTAATAGACCTCAGTATATGATGTATGATCGATCTGTTTCCTGGCAGACCTCTGACCTCKGTTGATTTATAATCTCTTTTTACAGGTAAATGATCAGGCTGTGGATACCACGGGGAATTGAATGAAAGCGCGGAACACACAGYCAGAGCAAGGACAAGGTAAAAGTCACCCAGTTATATGTGAATCATGAATTCTACAGTGGAACCTCCCCTTCCAGCCACCCGCCTAATACCGACACTCCGTTATAACGGCCAAATTTTTATGTACAGGCGAATAAAACACTCATCCTTTTTTTCARCGGCCGGGTTAACAAGGTTCCACTGTAGTTTTCTTTGTGCAGCCGAAATCCAATTAGCTTGTTATTTTACTGAAACTTCATGTTGTGTTCGTTTAAGACTAAGTATTAGAGAATGGATTATCATAATCAAATTGGCAGGAACGCCCACTGGTTATTTTAATTATAATTATGTGTTTATTACTGAGAAATATTAATCATTAGCTTTTTTAACATTTCGCTGTGAGTCCCGGTCGGTGTCAGACGAAACACCCTACGCGATATCTTGTATGCCGATCGGACATGAAAAAACCCTCACGGAACTCGATACAGAATTAACATAAATTAGCATAAAGTATCACTAAATTTACGCCCATTTTAGCCGTGATAATGGCAGAATTGTTGTTGACAGTTCTAAATGCTTATTGTAAAATTATAAATACCTTTTGCATGCAGTGACTCATAAACTGGCTAAAACACTTTCTAGCCTGCGTCTTGTCACCGTTAGCATTCTGGATGCATGTTTTGATGTATGGCTTGCAGACCTAGAACGAAAGAAAACCCATGGTTAATGTTTACATGGAGTTGTATCTTTTGTGAACAAAACTAACTGTGCTAGAACCCATGCAAACCCCCAAATTCTTCGTGTGAACGTAGTCTGACACGTGATCAAAGTGGRTAGGATATGTCTCTTTCTATATCTCCCATTGTCTCCATTGAAAAAAAGTGAGTGAATTGTCAATTGAATAGTGTACACGCATAAAATATTTGGTAACTGAAAGTTTATAGTACGGTATCGTGACAAAGAAGGCAATCTCGCCATACCGAGACAATCCTGAGATATCCCTACCCGTTAAATTGGTTGCATCGCGCGCTGAAATAAAACTGTTTCAWTTGAAAGGATAAGTTAGACTCTAAAAGTATAGCCGAAAAGTTTAGTGAAAGGCGTCCGAGGAAACTGGAAAAGAAGATACCAATATTCGAAATTTCAGTAGGCCTTTGTATTATTTATCTTTTCATTTCTTTTTTATCAACTTTGTCCCATAACGATAAAGAATCCTACCGTACGRTGTGAATCTATTATTCACGACCAAATGATACCAAACGATATTCCTTCATAAAGGAAATTACACTATGAACCACAATACCCAATGAAAATTTAACCACAATAGGCAAGGAAGACGACAGGCCAGTCGAAGGCCGAAAAAATATGCGTTGTTCTGTGCTTTGGTACAATCCTTTGGCTATGATCAATTACTTCAAAYGTCATTTTAAAGTAAAAACAAATGATTTTTTTGTTTCGTATTCCATGGACTGAAGACCTTGTCACTTTGACGAGGTAACTTTCATAGCGAGCTGAAATTTAATGCTGATAGCATCGTTTTTTTTCTTTTCTTTTCGTTTTTTTTGCTAATTTTTTCTTGATTCATTTGACGAAGTACTTTTTTTGAATGAGGTTGAGGCGAACAATTTATTAAAAGTGCTTGTGTATGCTATTGTGAGATCAAAATTTTCATGCAGTGATCTTTGGTAATACCGACTGAATGCCTCAATTTATGGTTTCAATCACTCAAAAGCCTGTTTAATTTTAATTCAGCTTGCTTAGTTTTTTTTTCTTAAGTTTCTTTTTTTTATTTGGATTTTGGATAATAGATTGTTGTGAAATGTCCCATAATGAACCAAACTAAAAACCAGAATGTCATTTGTGCTTACCTTCGCGGCTACTACAGCTTCGGGCGAGCGCTCATATTTCCTCGATCGCTTTGCTGTGTCAGCTTCTCCCTGGTTCATTCCTTCAAGGTCTTCGAACACATATCGGCCGTTTACAGCCACAGTCAGGGCAACTAGTCCAACAATAATGACAGCCTTCATTGCTAACGACAAAACAACAGAGTGATTTCCTAGCTTTATGTAAGCCTTGTTATTGAAAGAAATGCGGCAATGTCTCGTCCAATAACCTTCCTTCCTAAATAATGTATTGTTTTTATTACAACAATAATTGATGTGTGCCTTTATAAATAGTGTGTCGCAAGATAGGAGTCTACCTGCGTGAGTCCTACATTTAATTTTTCAGCGGCTTGAAATGTATATTTTAGTGACTCAATACAAGGATCTATTGGGAATTTGGTTGGTTTGGTATGAGAAAATAAAGGGAAAAAGACGGCAGTTCCCACTTGGGATATTCCACCATTAATTAAACATGCTGAAGTGCGTCTCTAACCTATAATCATACAGTAATGGTTACTGAACCGTTAACTTAATCAATCTATTAATTAGCTCATTTTAGTGTACGTGGGTGTTGAGGTTTTCAAGCGAAAGATTCAATGATACACAGAAGAAACGTTTTTTACTGTTTTTTTTTTCATAGTGATTTTCAGAGCTCGTTAAAATTCAGTTACATTGAGCAATTAATGAATGAAGAGGGCGTACAACTCTTGGTTTCGAAAACATAAATCCTATCGCGTTTAATTTTCATTTTTTTTTTAAATTTCATTGCGACTAACATAGTACCAACAGAAACATTTACGACTATAAATTATTTTTCGTTTTTAGTTGTATCAATTTTAGATAATCTAAAGTCGTCTCTGACTATTTTACTGATATTTTTCAATTTGATAGTATCTCAGCAATTTTAATCTYAAWYTKAATCAGCTCTGGCCGTGTTTTGACCATTGTTGCAACCAGCACGAAGGCCAAAGTAACCCAGGGTGTCATTGTGGTAAATCTTCAATAGATAAATATCGCCACCAATTTAGATATAGATTATTTTAGTCTTTATTAGTTGCGATAAAAGGTTCACATTCGCATATGTATCGAGTTCTAGGATCATCCGGAATTTTKTTCGTATCAGATTTTGTTAACGTTCATTGGCAATTTGGAAATGGTATTACATTGTAGTCACCGTATTCGGCCATGTTTCACTCCATGTTTCACTCTGAGAGTCGTCGCCAATGGCTACTGTTATATATATGATTCGCTAGCATTCACGACCACTACATTGAGTGTTTTAGCACACAACACTCCTCACATCTAGTTTTTGAAGTGTTTGGTTTCCCATGAAGTGAAACAGACACATTTTAGTGCGTGTTTTACTTGGTTTTAGCGCGGTTTTTTTGTTGGAATTTTGTTGTCTAAAGTTTATCTGAATGAAATCGTTTTTCTAAGACAGCAAAAATCAAAATATTATAGAGACGGTAACTTTTTATCTGACATAAACCAAGCTAGGTTTGCCGCTTGTATTATCAAACGTACCACGACACAGTGTGGTTATCGGTATTCGGTATGGCTACTTGCGGAAGTACTAGACACTTGAAATTGTCATGACAACGAGCATCGTTACTGGAATATACTCGTTTTTCAGGTTAATACTTGTCCTTTCTTTAGTGCTTGATAAGTTAGTTAAGTTGGTCTAGTCCTCGAACTACTCTCTTTCAACCCGGTCGTAAGTGTTTTTATCACTCGGTAAAAAAAAAAATAATAATAATATAAACCAAACATGGGAGGGAAGCCTGTGATCAGCCCCACACTTAGCCATACTGGCTCCCATGATTATGGAAAATGGATGCGAGCAAGTTTGCTTCACAATGTTCATATGTTCAGTTCTAAACCTAGCCGCAGTAAAAAAGGAAAAAAAATATCGAAGTTGTTGTAAGCCAATTCAGATATAAAATTATCTGTCTGATAGCGTCACTGATACTGTTCCGTACAAGCTAGTGTTTGACTKTAGTGGCATAAAAGCCGAATTTGGAAGCGAGTCAGCATTAAGAGTCGACACTCATTGCACGAATTAAATGTACCCACAATGTCTGATTTTAGTATGTCCTACCATTCCAAGAGACAGAATATAAATGCGTATCGATTGTAAGCGTTTGAAACAGAGTACAGGTGTTTACAACTATGCAGTTTTTTTGGAAGTTGATTGTCCCCGGCAATACTYGCGCAAATTAGCATGAAAGATTGATATTCCATTTCGATTCTACAGTAATTTATCCAGATGATGAACTAATTATTTGATCTACTACAAAGATATGTCCTGAATACAGTGGACAARAATTGTCTCCCGTCGATAAACACCTGACAACATTGCATTGTGTAAGATGACTTCAAATYAAAGAAAARCCATCCATTACGGATTTCTAGTATGTCTTCGAAGATGGAAAATTGCAATTATGAAAAACCGCTATGCTTACTAAGAAAGAAAGTGACAAACAACTAASTCAGTAAATGTTAGAACGTTGTAAAAGTATAAATCTCAATTACCTTACTATCCGGTAGAGAGAGGGAAAGGTCCGAAGAGAACACTAGTAATCAAGTGAAGGAAAGTTCTTGTCTTCACTGTATATCTTACAAGATGTCCAAAAAGGAGCTTAATGATTGGTGAAGATTACTATTAACAAACACCATCTGGTGCAGTGCCCCCTTAATTGTTATGCTACTTGAAAGTTTTCATTGTATTCTGCATCCCGTCTTGACTTTTCTCACTAATTTATCCCCTCACTTCTCGAATCTCTCATCTCTTTCTGAGATGAATTTTCAGTTGCTGAAACTTTATAGTTTTGTTTAGTTTTACACGGAATTTTGGATAACCTCATTAGGAAACATTACTTGAAAGTTTTCATTGTATTCTGCATCCCGTCTTGACTTTTCTCACTATTTGATCCCCTCACTTCTTAATCTCTGATCTCTTTCTGAGATGAATTTTCATTTGCTGAAACTTTACAGTTTTGTTTAGTTTTACACGGTATTTTGGATAACCTCATTACGAAACACAGGAAAGTTATTTTCAGCGGGGGATTTTTTTTGTATGCACAATGGTAGGTGTACATTAAAGATTAACAGTTAAATTACAATATAGATTGACGCTTGAACTTTAGCAGTTCAAATGCATCTCACTATTTCCTAAGCTTATCAATTATAATGAAAAGTTTAGTATTCAACCCTTTTTGAAAAAGCCACAGGGCAATGCGTGAGTGAAGCCATCCGAACCTAGAACGAAAAAAATGAAGTATGTTCATTTATAAGATATCCGTTGGTTTTTACTAACAGTACAGATGCGAATGTGATAAGTGCCGTGCAATTATCGACAGTACTATTCTTTGCGCACTTTGACAACTAAAGTGTACTTTCACGACTTTCAATTGTCCACTCAAAACTGCTTCAAAATGCTATGGTTTCTCATCAATTTGACTTGCCTGCTTGTCATATCATTGAGTATTCCACATGCACAGCGACAGCTTAATCGGTCAAAATTAACGCAAAATATTAAGCTTCTAAACCTGCTATAAATATTCTATGATCTCGCCTAGATTATTTTAAGCCAACTGGCAAAAAAGCCACGTGACCGATGTTATTTTTTTCGAAAGTACGCCGCTATATTATCAACACAGGTCATCTGTACGTTTCTCTTCAGTCTTGGAGAAAATTGTCTTTCATTTCTGATGTAAGCACTGTTGGAGTTCGTTCTAACTTTTAACCATGCTTGTCACGTGACTGTTGATCAGATCATGTGGTCGGTCCGCGTCCTGTGACTACAGATTATATTTTTTTAATTTAATATCAAAGGAATAACTCTAGAATGGATTATTCTAGATTGATTAAATAGGTCGAGAATCGAATCGAGCAATAGTATGAATCTTGGTGCCAGTTTTTTTAAATAAATCAATTATTCTCGTCATTTGCCAACTTGGAGAAAAAGACCGAAAATTACATTCCAAAGCTGGCTYACCCCCCACGACCATCTCTGTCAATATTGTGAAATTCATGCAAAGAACATTCATTTCGCTTCTTTTATAAATGTTTCCAATGATGAAMATGCTTGAAAAGGACATTAAAATCTTCTCTCGTCTCACGTCTTTTCGCGATARACGAATGTGGGCCGGARAAATTGAAGAGTTGAGTCACTCTCATTWCATGTCATCAAATAAAACATAGACACGGTGCCTATAATCTAATGGGCACCAAGTTCTCAAGTCGGTTTTTCTACCGGATTAATTCCATGGAATCAAAATGTGTTTTTTTTTAGTATTTTCAGACTTTTACCTTACACCTAGTTTAGAATTGTAATTAAGAACACAATGTAAACATAGATAGGCAAGATGGCATTCAAAGTGTTTTTGCTTACGRGTTTTAAACGGTTTCAAATCGTGGACTCTACCTTTTTAAAATTTTATTTCAAAACTGATGTCGTGCGGTTCAATCCACCAAAAAACACTGATGAAATATTGTACACCAAAAAAACAAACTCAATTTAAAAGTGAACTTCTGATTCTTTTGATTTGCGCTGATAAATCTAATTCTGTTCACAGTTTTCTTATATTTTTCAAGATAATATTTTTTGTCTTTATTTTACGACTAGTCACGTTTACGTAACTAACAAAGGCATCTACTATAAGTACAACTGCAAGCTGCCACTTTTGTCATGTATCGACAATGAGATTAGTCCAAATTGGGCAACTTATCTTCAAAGGTAATAAGAATCTAAATGTTTTTTACACATGTACCGAGTTTGAGCAAATGGTCATACGCGATCGAGAACATGAACATTTTTATCCCACATTTGTTAGCGCTTACGATCTACTATGATATACTTTGACTTTYACTGCGTTAACATTTAGGGAACGATATTATTTTTTACCGTTTTTCTTTCWCAAGTTATAGTTAAATTATTCTAAAACTTTTATACTGAATCGTATTATTATTTCATCGACGTTGTTTTAGATGCGATGAATGTCATGTCGATTTCTACATTCAACTCTACTTYKCAATTCTCAAACGATTCAGCGGGTTTCCTAAGCAGCTAGCCAGCGTTTACCGTGCTTATTTCCAATGTGCTTCGATTGTCTCCTCACTTCAATTTTCAGCCAACGACAACAACACACAATTGATGAAAATAAGACATACTGAGATTATAAAGAATTTATTTACAAAACAAGAACTGATGTTTTTTTAAGATAACACAACCATAACAGTGTTTATGAAACTCTACTAAGACATTCTTTCGCTGTCTCGTTAAATAGTTATTTACATTAAGTGTAATGTTAAATATATCATCCCTTTTTTACATCATAATAGAACAAGCATCGAGTGTTTTCGATGAGCAATTTGTCATTGTGCGTCAAATGGTCGGACGTGCGCCAGATCGATCTATAGAGAYRCACGTTAGTGATTTACGGTGAACACATCGAYAGCCRTACTCCAGCACTACTTTAAGTGTCAATAATTGTTTGTATTTCAATAATCTCTCAGCCGTTCATCAGCTAATGCAGTTGAACAGCTWAGCAGGGTATACGGCGTCCCATCACTGGAATAGAAATCCAGAGAGCGTGCGTATCCAAGGCTGGGYCCACGAGGTGATCGCCATGGGAAATCACTACCTGAGCAACAATCATCTGCGCATGCCCATCGTGCGTCTTGTGACGTAAGTAGTCGAGGATCTGCGTGCAATGACATGCAAAAACGATGACCGTTAGAAAACTTATCGATCGGMCAGGTAAAARGTTTTAAAATCAGTCAGATAGTAGGTCTGAGTCAATCGGTCGGTCAAGTATTCAATAATCAATYAACAATCAAGGTAATCAATCAATGATCAAGTTTATCAATCAATCAACTAATCTTTCAATCAATCCATTCATGGATCCATCAATCAACGAGTCAATCAATCAATCAATCGATCCATAAATCAATCTGTCAATCAATCAATCACTCGGTCAATTAATCAATTATGGCATGTTTATGATATAAATGCGATAAAAAATTAATGTTGTCTTTACCGATGGCGTCTCGTACATCATGATAGCAGTTTAACTGTCCTGATAAATGGCAGCACATCCCGTCAATGGAGTCACAGCATCGTGAATAGTCATCACTTTGCATCACATAACCATCCCTAGAAAAACACACAACTATCAGCACCTACATGATTGTAGCTTGGCTATCACTATGCAAGATGACTATTAAACTAAAAAAACAATACTTACTCTTCAAAATTCGGAAGTAGCCTTGTGGTATCTCGAAATCCTTTTGCAAATGGGTTACTGTATATCTTTAATCGCGTGATCTATTAAAACAATACTATTAATTACTAAACCATTGCAAAAGCAATCTATTGATTACTAAAACGTCACCTTATCATGTTAGTTAGTAGATTTAGAACCGATTATCGACACAGATTCGATGGATTACGTCTTTCCGATTATGCCTTTCGGGACAACTTCGGGTTTCCGAATCGAATTCCGAAAAATTCACGATAGCATAGTGACTATSCATTACYAGAATGCAGTAGCCATAGAATTGTGTAAAATAGTTATTATTTTTCAACTTACCAGATGATTTTGATAAGCGGTGACTGCCATGAATGCCGTTTCTGGAAAAACAAARGTATCGGCCTTTTCCAGATCTTGTTCTGAGACGCTGGTATCTGATGCGTTTTGAATCAAGTGTACGCGTGGTTGGTACTTGTGCATCGAATTCAGGATTATCTTAATATAAAATACCAGTCATTAAAATCGATAATGTTAAGTAGATAAAACTCAGTGAACAGCAAAACAAGTTTAAGGAAGTTTTAGCAAGAGTACGTGATTGCCATCGTTTTCGCGGGATCCCTGTGTTTTTAGGTGTCGGCTTTTTTTACTCACCAATCAATATTTTATAAGACATTGATGGGCAAATGTTCATAACTGCACTATCTTTTTTTATATGAATGTCTCTCATACTATATAAAATTTCTACGCACTTTTGACTTAATAGCCTACCAGGCATATTGGGTTATAAGGTTATAAACCGTCCATAACATACTAGTGGAATAACGATTGTCAAGGTGTCGTGTAAGTGAGTAGTTGCTTAGATTAGAGTGCTATAGGACTKTGCATATAATGTATTTTAGGAGCATGTTATTGCCTTGGYTAATTAGAATGAGTACACAACTTTGTTCCAACATAATAGCTAGTTCACTTGACCAACTGGGTAAACAAGCCAACGCACTACGCCATTAATAAAACAAGATGGCTTTGTAAAGTAGGTCAATGYACACCTCTCGTTAGCAATGAAGACCTAAAGAACCGATATCAGCTTCTACTTCGAGCACACTTCCAATAGCAGAAAGATTTGAAATTTGAAAGGTTTTGGATGATTCGAAGTTTTTGGGCATCGTATTGCCAATTCTAGACAATTCTACACCACGTTGTTGCTACAGCCCCTCACTGAAAAAATCTTAGATTCGCTCCTGCTTACGTATGGATATACCGCTAGCCACTACCGTTGTCAGCAACCTTCTCTGTCCTCTTCATATCTTGTTGTATATTCAGATCATCTGTAGGAAGTTATTGATACTATTGCTATATGTTTTACCCCGGTGCGTTAACTATCTCTTACCGTCCTCACATTCGTTTTGATTTGTAATATTGTTTCAAATTGGCTTCTTATCAAAGACGAGTRCATGTCGTCTGAATATCAACCTTCATTCAAAAGAGTTTAAGTTGTAATCSAAGATATCAAATGTACGACTTTTCAAAGAAGTCGAAAAATGGTTTTGTTGTGTCCCCTATTCGATTTTTTTTAACACTTCTTTCTTCACATCAAGGTAGCGTAAGCCGTTYTACACTTRACAATGTCTAGGTATCGTTTTATTCCTGTAACTCCTAWTCTTTTTTTCCCCATCGTTTGTTATTTTTTCGCGCGCCCCTTTGCGAAGAAGACAAAAAACTATTTTGATCATGTCTAACAAGCCTTTTTCTGTCTATTTTTTCTTTCATTTTATGTTAACGCAAAATAGATTCTTGTTTTTGTTGTTTCTGGCTCGTTTTTTTTTTGTTACTAATACATTTACACCAATGAGAAGCTATGTGCAGATCTATTGTTTCAAAAGAAGATTTTTTAAACGATTTTTTATACACATGTAAAAAATGATATACTTTATTTTTAGCTTCTTTTTTCTATTTTTTAAAGGTTTATGATGTATATTTCTGTATTTAACCTATTTCTACTTGTCGCAATCTTCTTATGTCTTTTTTTTTATTTCAACGCTTCTTTTTTTGGCTCGTTTAAGGTCTCCTAGTCTGGCTTATAATGGCAAAATGAAAGTTGATACTTAGATGATCACTTCAGCCAACTTCCTCGAAACAATTCCCTTTCTTTGAACAACAACGTAGTTATGAAAACCTGGATAACAAAAGAAAACAACAACAGTAGCGTCTTTGTCTTTAATCCATCATCGAATAAGGTCTTTTAGCTCTATTGTCAACTGTACTTAAAGTATTGTTTTYATTARCCAATTTTGAAGCAAGGAATTAGCGTTTGTCGAGCCCATTATTTAAACATTGATCTGTTAGGTTGTAAAGTGTCTTGGCTCCAGGCGAGAGTGTAATATTTATTGTACATAATCAAATAAGTTTAGAGAGGGCGACTTAAAACATACCTAATCGTAAGTCTCTTTGAAGAGCATCAAAGCCGTCACTTGAGCCATTAAATATATTGGGTTTTCATCGTTTTATTCTATTTTTCTTTTATTGATTTAAGCGGTTGGCGTCTCAAAACTAATTTGTTTGTCAGATAATTATTGAACCACCCCGGTACTGAAAAATCCTGTATTCCAATAAACACCACCAGATTGAACTGGTTTAAACTTCCCTAGTTTAATAGAAAAAGGAAAGCCACACAGATCAATAAAAAAACGGTCTTTGGTAGTTAAAAAAGCCCTTCAAGTTTGCGTGAGGTTTCCAAGGTGAAGGAGAGAGCCCGCGACAGCAATGATAGCTAAGTTGGTACATAAACGGCGGGAAAGCATGACGTGGCGCGCTTTTTATGACAGTAATCTTCATTGATTGTTTTATAGAAGACTTGTGCCTTCCTAGTGCTAGGTCAAAAGCAAACACTGCCATAATTAAATCAAAGCAATGTCATATTGAAGCCAAAAAACACGATAACCAAGTCACGAAAGCACACCTCGATGAACAAATCTGTAATTTTTCTGATTTGGTGTGGCGTTGGGAAGCAACAAAGCGTTTTTTTATGTAGCTTCACATTTGTGATAAGCTGTAAAAGCTTTGTCTTTTGCCAACCGATATCATCATTCTGATGTTTGTTAACATTTTAGTATGAATAACGACTAGAAGGGTTTTCCGTTCGAAAATTAGGGCCTCTTTTGGAGGATAAAATAGCTTTGAATTATGCTGCACGTGCGCTGTGTCGGCGGATCGTATTACATATCACACTCTTTTAGCTTGGTCATTCAGGTTAAAAGCATATTTTGGACGCGGCTTTTACTTAAGGACACCGACGTAACGACTGAAATTAGCGCCAGTTTTAACGACAGTTTATATTGCAATTTTTGGATCCGTTTTGGAGGAATTAGTGTTATTGTCAAAGTATTTTTCACGATCGCTAGCACCTGCCTCATAAGAGCGATGAAAGGAGAAATAAAACCGCAGTGCGTAGAATGTATACCGGATTGGTGCCAACTCATATCATATTTAAAGAGATTAAATGGACCTTTCAGCTGTTATTGCCCCTTTGTGACTTGAAAATGGCCCTTTTAGCTCTTACTGACAGATGGACTAGCGTCTCTAAGATTCGTAGCTAACTTTGAATTCTCGACATTATCTTTATTCAGAGTATAGCTGGTCACACTTTTCACTTTATTTTTTTTTKTTCTATTTTTGTTTGTTTTCTTAATTGCCATTTTCTTCTACTCCCACCCATCCTTTACGCCCATTATCAGGTTGGAAGATAACACGCATTGCCGTTGGATGATTTTACTAAGTGGCCGTACTTTATTGCCTACATCCTAGAATACTTACATTGCCATTTGAGTCCTTTGGGTTATTGGTGAGTTTCACTCTCTCAAATGATAGCACCTGTCTGGCGAGTTCTTCTCCGGTGAAGGGTGATTCTGGATGGGTGTATACCCTGCGGGGTGGGGTAGGGTCAGCTTCGCCAGCCACGAACCATGCCGAGTCGGTATACGAGTAGCGATGTCGTTTATTATCTAATGGTACAATATCTAAAACCACGGCATATGATTGGCTGGTGTCTAGTCCAGTAAACGATACTCGCAGCGGTGGGAACATACGTCTATGAAAATGAAGAATCATCATCAGTCATCATAGATATTTCATAGGATCTTTACTGATATAACAATATTTCATAGGATCTTTACTGATATAACAATATTTCATAGGATCTTTACTGATATAACAAGATTCCGACCCTGAATTCGCAAGTCCCACACTCATGAACAACTAGTAATGCTGGATGATCAATGGATTCAATGATGTTGTTTGGCACTCGCAATCGTATGATTTATGATCGAGATGCGTTTTTTATTATTACTGCAGATAGAATGAAATCCCAGCTCAATCAGCTCGGACCGGGGAGGTTTCCTCTCGTTTGAAAAAAAACTATACCTACCTACAGTCAACTCTCGCTATTACGGACTCCCTCGGGACCGTAATTTAGTGTCCGAAATAGCGAGAATCCGTCCTGCTTTCAGTCATTTCTTTGTATTTTTCTCAGGAGATTCAGTATTTTGTGTCCGTAATGTCGAGGTGTCCGTTATAGCGGGGTGTCCGTAAGGCGAGAGTTGACTGTATTTTTCAATAGGAGTTAGCTAACCCGCATTTCAGACCGACTTTGATATAAAATTTCAAATACTTTGTTTAATAGTGGAATTATATCATGAAATTTGTGCAAAATRTGGCAACGAGGAAAGACACCTTAAGTGATGGTAGTCATGTCCAAATATGGCATACTGAAGAACAAATATGGCAATCATTACCAAATATAGCACTATGGTGATTAACAAAGATGACTGATACAAAAATATGTTAACGATGAACAAATATGGTTAAAGAWTGTGCAAATTGGCCAACTTAATAATTCTGAAAAAAATACTCCAAGATTCAATAATCCAGACCAGGAAAGCTTGAGTAAAATTTTTATAGGAAAATTCCAATTTTTTTGTATTCTGTTGTTATCAACATTTGTTTTTGGATAATTTGTGCGATTTGTTATTTAGTAAGATACCTAAGGCATGAAATGCCATTTAGAGCTAAGGGGCGGTTATAAAGACCAAATCCGCCCATCCGAAATCCCCCACGACTCCCTCCAATTACAAAGAGCATAGGAACACATAAATGAAACATTCCCAAAGCTCTCCAGTCTATGAATTTGAAGGTGCCCTCTGGGCATCTCAAAATGTCGGCTATATATCTCAAACGTTTCACGGTTATGCAATGTCCTGCTGTTGTTTCAATCCTACACYGCATTCAATTATTTGTTGTTTTTGTTTCCTGTTGTGTGTAAAAAACCTTTAATATAACAAGTAGTAGTTGTGTCAGATATGAATGTTTCTTTTTCCTTTGTTTGCGGTATTCTTTTTTCCGTGACTTGAGATATTCTTATCGTTTTTTCGTTTGATGTACAATTCTATTGTTTGCAATCTTGTCCTTTCTTTTCATACCGGATAAATTCAGTCAATTCCGAGTGTTCTTTTTAGATAACAGATCACAGATCAGCAAACATCTCGACTTAAAATAGGATCTTCTAATGTACAAATCACTTTGGACTTTTTGACTTGGTAGTGAKAGAAAAAAATATGTACAAATAGAATAGAAGACAAGCAAAYATATAAAMAATAGCAAAACTAGTTGATACAAAAGGAAATATCCATCCGTTGGCCTTTTAGTTAATTTGAGTTTTTCTTGTTTTTCGATTAAATCAACGAACGAACAATGAAGTCAAGTAAAAGGTGAAATTATTGGCCAATTGACAAACTTGATTTGACAAATCTTTAACGCCTCACGTTGCAAGGTTTCAACTGACAGGCTCGCTCTTTTACAGTGAATTGTATTCAGGCAAGTTAGAGAGAGAGGACTTATTCCATTTGGTGCACGTCTATAACTAATGGTCTTTTAAGACCGACAAATTGGGAATAAAACAAGCTCGATCGACACTAATCCGGGAAAAAARGASAAGGGATATATTAGTAAATGACTGTTCAAATGAGTTTGCAAGGATTATTTTCAGTCTTGCTTGTCTAATAGCTTTATCTAAAATGCTCGTATTTCGTTTAATAGGAAGCGAACTCGTAGTGAGATTATTTCACGATTAGTAAGCATACTTCATGTGCTTTCATTGATCTTTATTGACTGATAGCGGTAGCCCTCATTCAAACAAAGTACAAATTTGACTGAGATTAGCCTCACAGTTCAAATGGCCAGCACTCTTTAGCGATTCTTTGTCCTATAAGAGCGACCAAATGGATTTTTAATGGCACTACAATTTAATGGTTGAGAAGCCGTTGATGAATACAGAGGGCTCACGATGCCTTAACACTCAAGAGACTGCCATGGACACCGTTTGCGGACTCGTTTATACCGATGGGGTTTGGTTACGTTTATATATTGTCTGTCCTCAAGAGAATGACACAAAAAAGCATCATATTGAGAATTATTGCTTAAATACTTTGTACTTTATTTTCACGTCCTTCCAATATATTCTTCTTCATTTTATCATTCACTTCCCACTTATATTCTTCATTCACTTTTTGTCTCATTCTTGACAGTTTTTTATAATTGTTTTAGCAAACAATCAATACAGCTTGCTCACAAAGCAATCACACGAAGGTACAATCATCTTAATTTTGAACTTGAAATAAACTCACAAAATGGGAAACGAAAATACTACCGTCAATCTCAGATCATCGACACGAGTAGTGAAATAAAATTTGATGTTTTGTTGGAAATCAATAAATCTTATCATTGAATGGGAAAGAAAAAAGTGCAAAATTCATATTTGTTTTATTGTAGTCAAGTTGTGCGTGGCTAATCGTGTCCTCTGTGATTAAGCGCAGCTAATAGTCCGTCTTCCCTTCCTGTATCACCACTTCAAGTGTCACAAGCTCAGCGAACAAACCCTCAAAGCCGATGAACTGTGACAGTACTTAGAAGGTTTTAGCACAACCACCAAACGTTAACAAATACTTCGTGTTATACTCCTCATCTGTGACGTCATGGTTTATTACGACGAGCGTGCGCACTAGCTGCTCTTTGTTTTTCTTGGTTCTTGAGCGATAACAAGCTAAAGGATAAAGAGTGCGCATGCGTCTAGACAAGTAGCGTGTAAGTGTTATTGGAACACGGAAAGTGAGCTGATTCTCGGTCGATGCTATTGAGATAATTGTACACATTTCCTGCTAAGTCATCCATCAAACACCAGGATAACAAGAAACCACTAACTGACTACTAACAATAACATTTCAAATATATTATTCTATAATCTCCATTGACACTTGGTCTTAGTAGGGAGTATGATTTTGTCAGTTCTGGGCTGCGATACCCCGTTAAGATAAACCAAACCAGTCTCTTCCTCACTTAGTAGTTTCACACGGTTAAGTTTTGTTTTCAAAAATGAAATTACAATCATTGTAATGGACGGTAATGGAGAACTTTTATTGCACTAAGAGACATGTTTAAAATTTTRCAAGTCATTACTCCAAGTGTTCGTGTTTTTTTCCCTACCGCTGTACTTTTATTAACCATAAATTGAGAAACACATTTGCCAATTATTGCATGACAGTACCTGCGGTATAATTAGTTTAAACTTGTCGGTATGGATTAAACTACATGAATAGAAATACTTAGTTCCCATTTTAAGGTGATATTATATGGGTCCCGAATGGATAAAATGGAATTCTCTTGTTTTTGCAGTAACGTGGGAGCAATGCCACCAAAACAAATTAATAAGCGAAACGGAATTGACTGCGGATTTCAGCAAAAACTATCATTAATGCGTTGATTTTGACTGATTAATATTTTTTGGATTTTGCTAAAGTTTGGCTGGAAAATTGTAAAAAGAACCAACCACATTTAAGAAACCATATTACTATCATTTCAAACCTACGATCGCGTGTTTCTGTGCTGTGATTCTATTTCGTACTGTTATAAGACCTTCTATCGAAATATTCTGTTGGCAAAGGACATTATAAAAATCTAGAGCAAAAGAAAGAAACAAGTATATAAACAAACAAAATCGCCACACCGCACAGCAAATATCACACAGATATCAGGCCTGCTGTATGTCCTGGGCGTGGCGACAAGGGGCCTCAAATTTTAAGCTGATAATAACACGGTAAACGGGATAAAAGCCAACTTTTAGATTGTGTATTCCGTGTAAGACAGTGTCATTCACTAGTAAACGCTGACGGTAATGTGAAGCGTGAACTTTTCCCGTCAAAGTCAAATCTTCTACCTGTGACTTTCTCGATTGTGCTGTCATACTCGAGAAGAAAATGTCTAAATATAGTGTACATAATTCATCGACACGAAAACTGTTGAAAAAAAGAGAGAGAAAAGGAAATACGAGTTGCTAAATGACTTTTCTATTAGACGTTACAAAGAAAAACAGGTTTTAAAAACTTAAAAAGATAAAATTGTTTGATGTCAAAAAAATAAAATCATGATGTGAAGGCAACAAAGCAACCCGACTCTTTCATTAAAACGCTCCATTTGCCTACTCAAAACCCAGTCAAAATTAGATAATTTTTTTTAGTGTTTTTGTGCATTTAATGGATTTATTACTAAGAAAAACGCCCGCTTTATTTTGATTAAAGTCCGCATTTAAAGACACTGACTAGTTTGTCTTTGTTGTTCTTGTTGGCTTTGCTAAGTGGAATGGACAGGGTCCACAGCATTTATCATGAGTGCGCGTGCTGTGGAGTTTATTAAATGAGTTTTAAATCGTACGCTTTTGTTAGAGCACGCGTYGTGGTTTCAAGCTTTGCTAAAAACTCTACTACTAAGARCAGAGTGAAAGGTGATTATTGAACAGACAAACACTTGATATGGGCTGAAAGTGGCGGGCGCCTCTCTTTAAAGACCTGAAACCACAAAATATCGCATAATAAAGAGAATCCTGGTTTAGGGCCCAGCATCTCCACTTGAAGCAGGAAGATTGTCATGATTGTAGCTAAAAGCTACCGATTTAAGATCTAGAATTGCTTCCCTGCTCTTACCGCTATCGAAAAAACACTCTTTTTTCTAGTAAAATATCGTTTATTGCAAGGTTATTTTTCATCAGARTAATGTGTCTTTTGTGAATTGATTTGTCGAGGGAAATCTTGGCCTCTGTTCAGGAGGACCTTTGTCTCGAATGCTACTGTCATCTMCGACGCAACTTGGCAAAACCCTACAATAATTGAGCTTTTTAGCGTTTTTCATCGACCAACAGCAACGACAGATTCATTATTTTTTTGTTTTTTGTTTTATTCAGTTTATATCCGAGAGAAAATGTTGTAACATTTATTACAGTCAAAACTTAAAGAAATGTTTAAAATTCCCAAACAGTTAMGAGAATGTGTGCTTGATTCTGCTTGAAATCTTTCTAAACGACCATTCAAAATGTTCATCTCAGAACAGGTTATGTCGAATTCCTGACAGCTCTTTTGGCTTTGATACCCGAAACAGTCTAAGAACGTTTTTTGCGTCTCAAATTTCGTTGCAAATTAACATGTACCAGTTTGGTTGCTTCAAAGGGACCAGCTCGCCTGTCATTCTCTCCGTTTTAGTCCTTTTTTCTTCAAGATTTGACATCTTAAAGGTTAAGCACTGAGTCTTATTGTATAGTTTTATTGTTGGACTCGGATTCATCGACTGTATATCCGCAAGCACAAATGTGTTAAATGCTGCGGGCTATTACAACCTAAGTAGCTTCACTCGGTAAAGTGAATTGAATTATTGCTAACCTACTCTTCAATGGATTTTCGAAAAAAAATAAAGATTTTTTTTAAATATTTATATAGAAGTCTTTAATTTGAGAATGTTTGTAAAAAAACGACAATTTTAGGTCGGCAATAATATAGTTTTTCGACGAAGATAAAGTTCTTTCGACGCACAGAAAGACCAAATCATTTTCAGTCACTGAGTTGAACAGTACTCTAAAAACGACATCCCAATAAAGGGAACGACAAAACACACAGTGCAAAAAGGACCCTCATGTACTTAAAAAGGGACCGCGATGGACTTAAAAATGTTTTGGTTTTGAAGATTAGATCGCACAAAGAAATTCATAACAAGATTTTGATGTTCCTTTATCGATTGGAAAAGTGAAGAAGGGCTCTCTCTCTTCTTTTGTCTGCGAAAAACCCAGAAATCCCGTACAAGGATAGTCAAGGACTTTGAATGATACTAATTCACAGTGCCTAGAGAAGCCCTATTCTCGGCTTAGCGGGTGGTTTTCATGCAGTACTTCTTAACACTTTTAAAAGCAGGATTTGAAAATCTGTAACTTGGCACGCGCGAAAAGGTTATGAAATGTGCAATAATTGTCTTACTTATAAAATCGCAACTCATCACCAAACATCAAAACGATTAGAACTTGTGTTTCCTGCAATAAGAGAGAAGCAAAACACGCCATTATGGCCAAGGCGCGCGCCTCAAAACACGGCACATCAACAGTTGAAACTTTAGAAGCAACTCTTGTGTTTTTAGTAGGTTTTGACCATGAATCGCTCATGTGACAGTGCTTTCGAGAAACCTTCATCACCGAAAAACCGCAGGAATATACAATTACAAACAAACTGAGCTCGAGACTTATTCCACCTCGTTTTTTTTTCATCTCGGGTTTTTCTCGAACTTACGCAAATTTTGGATTACAATTCAGTCTATCATCTAATTGACATCATGAGAATTTTTAGTTTGTATTCATTGTTTTTTTTTCTTAATCTTCACCGAGCTCCATTAAAAACCACAGCCTCCAAACACTGGATTAGCTGTAGAGCCCAAACTCACTAACACTTCCCCATGAACCAAACTTCACATCGGATAGATAGTGATCACAAATGCTAGTACCTAGGATTGGTACATCTTAACAGAGCAATTTGCGAAAAGACTTTCAAAGGCAAATATCAGATGAAGGACAATGAGCACGAATATGGACCGATATACCATATTGGCTAGAGGTATCAAGGCAATCACAACTCACTACAAACAAACTTCATCATCACAATTTTCCAGACAATGTTTTTAAGAGGTCAACTACCTCGGGTTTAGAAGGGTGAGACAAATGACCTTGTATGTGGTTATAGCGGGCCAGCGAGACCGTTAAATAGTTCTACATACCTTCCGCTTTTGGTTATAATCATTTCTGTACCAAGACGGTAGAAGCATTCCCATAGCTCTCTTCCCTCGAGTATAGCTTGGGGCTTCAGAACTTTTTCTTCATGATCCGTATCATAGTCTAAGAGTTTTCGTTTCTTGCTGGTAGAAGGGGCGCCTTCCTCAGGGGTTTTCTTGTCATCAGGCTGTCCACACTCAGAGTCTTTCCCTACGGATATATTGGTTATATTTCCTTTAGTGGGTCATAATTGCATAAATATTTTGGAGAATGTTACATCTTGATATTATATTGGATATTAACTACTCCATCTAACATATCTCTAAGTATTAGCGTATTATAGTCCGGGACTACCCTGCTTATAGCAGACTTACCTTCATCCACTAAGGAAGCAATGGAAAATGCCTTGGCCTTGGTGCTTAATAAAGTTCTCTTGAYCGCGACAGAAGCCATTGGACAATCCACAGGAGGTAGTTATGCAGGAGAAATAAGTTGATGATGCGTTTCCAAGACCTGGCGCCTACGAGTAAAACGGGGAGTTGTGTTTCAGCTGACCTGCACACTGACAGAGTGATGGGGTTGTACAAGGTAAAACGGTGAAGTAATAAGTGAATTCTAGCCATAGCAAACAATCAATTAAGAGGCCCTTTTAACTGAGCGTCGTGTCGTCGCCAAAATCACCGTGCTCGCTGATTGGACAAGAGAACAAACAGCTGAAAGGCGAATACTGTCATCTGTCCATCACGTGACGAGGCCACGCCTCTAGTGCATTTCGCTGGAGGATGGTAAACTTGAACTAAATGAAACGAACTTCTGAGCTGAAATCCTGACTTTTCAAGTGAAGCGAGTGGATTTCATGTTAGGCTTTGGAGATAATTTACGAGAAGAAGTCAAAGCTGTTTAAGTAACACTTCTGCCGTTAATAAGTGTTAATTAAAAGCACAGGGAATCAATTATCACGCCTTATGTTTGAATGGGATGTACGGAATTCTCGCTTCACCTTTGACGCCGGGATTCCTGACTTATGGAAATGTTGTAATGATGTAATATCTGCTTCCTGCGAAACTGATGACGAGAATCGTTTAATATTAGCCCATGGCAGACAGTAGTGTTAAGCACTTGGACCAGCAATCTCTTAGAGATTTACTTCTCATGATTAATACTTACCCGATATCTCGATCAAAGACGATTGGTTCCGATACTTTTGGCCATTGCCTCAATACTCTGTGTTTTTCGGTTAGTATTCTCACCGTGTCAACTCTGTCACTACGAGATACTGGTTGTTCTGATGAGCAATCCTTTTGGTGCTTAACTCTTAAAGTCCCAGACTTGAGGCGCCGCAGAGCAAATAGGTCCACTTCCAGATCGTTTTCGCTGAAAGTTTCCATCATTTGACTGACTATTTACGACCAACTAATACGTTTCTATTTGCACGAGGACGCCAATTCTTACCATTCAAAGTTGCCTTTTTGTCGAAAGGGACGCGTGCGAAACAATGATAATTTCTTCAAAAACGATATTCAATCGAAAGTAATATCGCTTTTGAAAGCACGAGTAATGAAACGGCTACAAACAGGCTTTCTATTGTCAAAGGACTGCCGGTTTTGTGGTTTTATTTTCAGCGAAGATGCAAATCTAAAATTGATTGAAATGCAAATTGTTTTGTCAGTAACAACGACCTGAGTATAAAGTTACTACTCAGATACGAATCTGAATAAAACAGCGGCGAGCGTGTATCGGGTTAGGGTATTGTTTTGAGGTTCGGTCCTGTTTTCGAGGTACTTGACACTCAAAAAAAGAACAACACAAGAAAATCAGGGTTGAAAACTGACCTTGTCCTTTTGATTGCAGTTTTGAGGTAACTATTATTACTGTCCAGTGAAGATAATGTGTAAAGAGTGATTTCCTGCATCTATTGATGTGCTGAGTTGATATGTTTTGTACCGTTGACAGTGCGATCTGACAGGCGAACCTGTACCAAACAACTTTCCCACGGCTTTATGTACTAATATCATAGCATTTCTATTTACATTTCCTTTTGCTTGATAATTAAATAAGCTTAGACGATGAACAGAACAACGTAAACGCTGGAAGAAGAAGAAAAATGCTTTTAACAGTTGGATTTTTATTTAGTTGWAGTTGACATCACCCAAAAAATGGCGGCCGTCCGCTTGCCGACTAAAAGTGACAGCACTAACTTTAATATCTTGAGTAAAATCCCGGTTTGGTAATTATATACCTCGTTAAATTAGCCTTTTTTATTAGCCGCTTACGTCAACTGAATGATCTCAGTTTAGTGAGAAAGCTTTAATTAGCTTGAAGACAACCAGTTCTTTGTAAAACCCTAGAACACCCCAGAGACAAGAAACTGTCATCTTGGCGACTTTTCAGCGTGCGATACAATAATCGATAATGATTCAGGAGATTTGTGTCGTATGGTGGCCATAAAATGTCTTTTATTCATCGTTGTTACTATCGCTGTTCATTTCGTCTGTCAATGTAACAAGTAGAATATGTTTTAAAACATGCGACAAAGATCGTTCATAWGGCTGCGAAAAATAACTGATGACACTTATTAACCATAGCAAAGTTCAGCTTTTCAAAAGAAAATAAGAACGTGCCCCATTATGCAACTCTCAGATAATGCCTGCATATATTGTTTCAACATTGTTGGAATTGTTTCAATACTTCGTCAYTTTTTAATGTCCGCATTCCACAGCACAAGCTAAAACGAGTAGTGAGTTTAGTGCAATTATCGCCCACACTCGCCTCRGGCATCTATCGTTCAATATGATCGTGGCGACTATCGCTGTCAACRATTTGAAACTCGCGACTAGAAGTCGATATCAATCGCGCAACGATAGAGAAACAAGCGGTTGTAAAAGTAGCTAGCGTCGACTTTAAAGTGATGTTCCCACGGTGCCATTAGCATTTGTTTGCAAATCGTTATTTTGACAAGGATGATGAGTGTTGACAAGCTATTGTGCTAGTCATTATCGATATTTATTAATTGACTTTTGCTTGTACAATTACGTACTTGAATGATATCAGCATAGTCCTTGTAATAATATGTGTTGTTGAAATACTATGGGTCAATATTTGATTTTATGTCGTTACTGTCGTATATCGGTATTCGTGTTTTTTCTCTCTGGGTAAGGGGTGTAGGGGAACAGCTCGAAGGTAAAATAAGCATGRTACCTCTCATCAAGTGTGGACAATCGAGAGAACTGGCGAATGCACGACCGAGAGTTATTATGGGTATTAATAGGAAATGTTCACTCAAAGGTAGTCAATGTTGCTGCGTCGCCATTCAAATAAACATTTTCACYGGAGACGATTGTCTCCTTTGTCCAGTTACCATTTTATTTAAAGCACACCCGACAATGTTTTTTAAAGCAAATTTGACTGCATATTATCTATCARAATATTGAATACCCATAGATTATCCGACCGCTATATGATACCTGTTGGAATCGACAGGGATGGGATACCTCTACCTCTCTCAAAACTCTTCACACAGGAAACCCAATACATAAAATTGGTTTTGCATTACTTAGCGAACTTACAAGGACCGGGAAGTACAGTGAAGAAGTGAAGTGAATGATACTTGTATGTATGTTTTGTGTGTGTTGGTTTGGGCGGGGGAGGGAGGGATTTAAGTTTTTACAAAAAGTGCGCGAGGGTTGCTGAGTTAGATGATTTGAATATACATTATGGTAAACATCTCGTAAATCCAGTTATATATAGTCATACTTTTTTTAATTTCACGTCATTTAAAAATGAGGACATAGGAGAAAATATTCAGGAAAAAAGGAAAAAAGTGCGTGGAGTTCAAAGAACTCCCCCTGCCCCCCCCCCCCCCCCCCCCCGACCTTGATTAGGATTACTACACCTGACTGACCATCTTAGTGATCTATGTAGTCTTATTTTATGTAGTTTTACTGGAGATGGCTAAAGCAGGCAGATGAGGATGAGAAAACAACAGGAAGAAGAAAGAGAGGAATATTGAGAAGAAACATGTTCATTCATCTTTTCCATTCACGGTACATACAGTGATAAATATTGCGTATTGTTAATGAATGGTAACGCTAAAATGTGTYATTTGCAGTAACTAAAAAAAAATACTGAACAGATATAAAATGTTAAATAACAAATCGTAGTACATTTGAACTGTAGCATTGTTCTGATCTGTTTCATTTTCTTATTTTTTGTTTGTTTTCAGTTCAGTTTTCAAGTTGAAAGTAATAAATGATGATCAGGATTGGACATACGTCAAACTTCAAGGTATTCTTGGAGGTAATATATCTCATTGATAACTCAAGGTCTCAGACACATTGTGAATGCAAGCTGTTGGTTCCTCTCCTCCTTCTGAGGTCTTTCTGTATAATAGATAAAAAACACGACAGAACGAACAGCGTATAACAATCGTTCTTTCATACTCACAGTCACAAACAGACTGGTAATGCTTGATGGAGGCGAAATATCTTGCATATTGTCAGTATGACATCATTTCCTTTTCAGTACAGMTGCAGGAATTCATGGCGCAATTTTTCGCACTTTCTCTTCGGTACGCAACACTATACTAACACAAAAGACTTATAGATTGGCTAAAATCTAACAGAGTTGTAGATTTAAAATAGCTTTATCCATCTAATAACTGGAGAGATTACAATTCTCGTTGAGTTAATGGCGACAGGGTATATCATCGTAAGCGTTTAGACACGAACTGACTATCAAGTTATACAAACAAACTAAAGCTTTACATCATGGAAAGCAGTTCTTTGTAATCAAATTTGAACCTATTGAATCTTTGAATTACAAATACTGAACTGTTACCTTAAGAACGCCTGCGCTGATTTGAAACTGATCGACAAAAAACATTCGAGAACCATGCGCTTACTTTAGTTAGTTTTGATGAATGCAAATAGTGCTTGGATAGTTTTGAAAATATTAATGTAATGTGCATTTTTTATATGAATTTTCACGTCTAAGAGCTTACTTACTTTGATTTTTACAAGAAAAAAAATTAAGGATGCAAACCATCAGTTCAGTAGGCCAATCTCTGCGGCATTGTTCATGTATCYGTGTACAAAATGTCTACTGAAGGCTTAATTCTACAGGTATCTAAACTACGTTAACATTTCCGACATACAATAACGCGTAAAAGTGTAATGCAGTGTTATCATACTTGTGAAGTTGAAATCACAACGAAACAACAGAAACACGCGGCTCGGGACTTCTTTATCCGTAGTACAGTTCGATACTCTTGCTTGTAGAAGAGCTGAACAATTCAATATGTAGGAAAAATTCAAGAAAATAGATATATACCGCTATTATTATCTCACTGGCTAAAAACATAGTTTGTGTAGAAAGAGTAGTTTAGTGTCTTGCAGTATATACAACTCWGAAACATGACGGCCATTTTGAAGGCTTTGTTTCTAAGTAGTAACACAAAGAAAAATTTCTATTTGTAGTGAAAGCAAAATATTACATCTCTTTTATATTATTAATGATTTTTAAAAATCATTAACAARCGTTTATCACTTCTGTCAGAGTTATATATGACTTATCTTGATGCCTTTATAATATAGTTTTAACTATTCCTYATAAGTATAAAGAGTTTTATATGTTGGAATTTATCTTGATCTGTGCTGCAGTGGTTCAGTAATTATGGTTCCGGTATTACACAAATTATATTTTAGCATTTTACACAATAAAAAACAAACAAGAACTCTGSTGTGATAAGATGAGATAATAACAGCACAGAATTAATTAGCATGACACCATGCGTCATTCTTATAAAGTTCTAGTTCCCTTATCTTCAATTAACTTATCAAACGAACTTTTATCGCGATGTTACTCCACTAAAATGTTTCGAATTTTGTGCGTAATTGGTGTAGAATCAGAGTGAGACAATTTCCGTACGATTAGACCCAGCTGGGTAGAATATTAAAAACATGTTGAGTTAAAGTAAAGAATAGTCTATGGCCGGAAAAGAACCCGCCCACAAATCTCTCGCCAACAAATGTGTGCATAAACTACAATTGCTGCATTGATTGGTAATACTTCAAGACCAAAAGATAAAAAATTATTATTTACAGTGTTACGAGATTTATAGTTATTCGTGATCAATCATAGCCTATTTGTTATTTGATACGAAAATGAATTGCAAATCTCGACATTCAAGAGTGCCTCCTTCATGAGTTCAAACGCGTTCATTTCTATAAATGGAAAAAATACTCGCTTTTTTCAGCGCTAATTTTTTGTCCTAAATCTTTGGATACATAGCTTGTTTTTACTCGTAGCAATTTGTTGGGTGTGTTGCTTGAACAAGGTATAGCGTATACGTTTAATTGCATCGGTATTTACAAGGACTGCGTTATCTATGAAATTTTACACTTAAAGAAACGTCAACTGGCTTTGAAAATTATCTTTTTTTGGTTTTTAGCAATAGATGGAATGGAAGGTGATCTGTTCTTCGCTCTTAAATCATTTATTTACAATWAAAAATCTTGATAGAATATCCGAGTAGAAACTTTAGCGTACTCTGACGGGGAAGCATGGATTGTATATAATGGAACTTTCAAGTCGTTCTAGGTAATTCGGATTACCGTTACCAAAAGAGATTTCTTGTCAAGAAGCAAATAGAGGATTCCTCCACAGCAGACGCTGAATAAAACTCACTTKCTGGCAAAGTAGTGATGCYCCATCCGCTCATACGGCTATTTGTTGCAAGGTCTTTCTATCCGACGTCGTTGTGCCATGAGCAAGCTCTAAAGCCCAGACGTGCTGAGGCCATCCTGTGCGCGAACTTCGTCGAGAATTATACCTTGATTCTTCATCGGGCTGAGAAGGAAGTAGATATATATATTTAAACAAAGCGCAGATGAAGGAGGAGTTTAAGGTTGGTTGACCAAAACACAACAAAAGACGAGAAAACAAACATGTTATTTGATATCTAGGAATAAGCCAGGAAGACCATTTTGCCTCAACATAATTACTGAATAAACATGTTTGTAAAATCACTTAACGTCCCCCGTTATCTACATTGAGCTGTAGATACAACAAACAAAGACAACTCAATCTATTGCCAACTAACGTTTTGATAAAATTAAACTTTTCTGSGTCATAATGATTCCTTATACTGACCTCATCGTGMGAGCTGCTTTCAGAGTTTTTCCTTGAATCAACTCTTGATTCCTCTCTTGGTGTTGTGGGCTCGGTTTGTGTTGATTCCGGCTGCGAATGTTCCAATACACCGCACTGCTCCTCCCCATCTAGCTGAAACTCCAAGTGATGAATATAGCTCATGGCAAGTTTTAGAGTTTTTATCTTTGATAATTTAGTGTCTGAAGGAACGTTTGGTATATGTTTCCTGAGTTCAGCAAATGCAGCGTTGATRTTTTGTGTGCGTTTTCTTTCCTTCTTACTAGTTGCAGGCTTAAATGTTTTCGGTTTACGTTTGATCCTTACGCTATCTTGCGCTCCCTCGCTGTCTGAATTACGTTGTGAATCCTCAATCGGTTCGTCTTCATGGATAGCTGCTTCTCCGGGGTTCTGGTTTTCGTGATGTGACATAGTGAATCGAGAGGCTGTCAAGCTGTCTACTACAGGCTTTATTCTTTACAGATACAATGGTCGATCGCCAGATACAGGGTTTACCAACCGCCAGCCACGACACAGCGACTAGTGTAGGTAAGTTAGCTATTGTTTTGTGATTCACCGTCATACTCCCAGCGTCCTTTGCGCCACTTACATTCTTGCCRATGCTGGGAAGGCACAAGGTCTTCAACAATTTCCTTCGTCTTATCAGACGTGACCTTTATTTGACACCTGCACACAGATTTAAAGGTGACATTTAGCTGGGTTCCAATCTGTCAATCATTTGGCGTAATGTGGGCGTTATGCATGTCATCGACAGACGTACTGATAGATTGTGATTGGTGGAGCTTGCTATGAGATAAAAGACCAGTGAGTTAATGAACAATATGACATGGCAGAACGTGGGAAAACCTCTTCTACTTTATCATGTTGTGAATCTTTATGAAGTCACAATCTCGTCTGTTGCAGTTCAGCGTGATTATCAGTAGATGACAGCTGTCAATCAGCAGTACTTTGCCAAAGTAATGGTTTCAACATGGGGCAACATATGTTGCTATATATTCTATTCAATATCCTAGGTTTTACAATGGTTTCATGTATGGACGACGGAGTACTGTATACCCGCATTTTGCCTTGAAATGGCACCGCTTTTCCTTGTTCCGAAGGCACAGTTAAAGTCTTCCTCTCAAATAATCCTTCACTTTTTCTCATCATGGTATCAGCTTTTACCGAGTAGCGCTCATTCTGGGCCTGATTTCTTGTTAAAGGTTATGATGTTTAAAGAATATGCTATTTAAACAGTCACATTTTCGTTATAAGATTTCTTTTTTATCATTCACTTTTCAATTCTTTTCTGTTCCATTCAGTTGCACTTATTCATTGTTCCAATGTATTATTATTGATAATAATAATTGATTATTGATTAATTTTATTGATTATTGTATGATTATTGATTATTTTCCAGTTTTCGCGAGGATATAAAGTGCACAACAAGTTATAAATAACTTAGGTAACTGTATAGAATGCCTTAGGCTGATAAACTTGATATAGTTACTAAGGGAGTCTGTAATAGTTGGGTGGTGACGTCTCTGTCAAGTCGAGATGACCTATACACACTTTGTTGAGATACTATGGAACATAATGCTCAACTCACCAGCGTTCTTGCACGCCATCCTAGATAAAGAACTAGACATGGTTAAGTAGGGTTCCGCCATGTTGTGGTTGACTCCATCTTGTCGTATTATCATGTATGGCTCCGTATTCGACGCCGCGCAATCAGTGAGGGGGCATTATTGATTTGTCCATTTTTTAGTGCTGATTTTGGATATTTGTAATTGGCATTCTTGTAAATGCTATGTGGATTTGCGAATTTAAGCGTTTTTAGAGGGTGAGGGTGATTTGCTGATTTCAGCAGCCTCCTCTCGCCTCTCCCCTTCCCCCCAAAAAGACATACCTTTAGGGGAAAAGAAAACAAAAGGGTTCGCCCTTCTGCCTTGGGGCACTATGACTAGTGTAAACAGCCCTTAAATGTTCACCAAATCACACAGTCAAAAGTCCCGTAATCCAATCAGTTTGGATAATATTTTCAATGCATTTCCATTTTTTATTGTTTTTTTATTTGTAAGTCCCAGTCCCAATGCATTAAATCCCATTTCCATCCTCAAACATTCTCGTASCTGCAGACATCGAGAAAACAGAACATATGTTCTTTAGTCTGTGAAGAAGGAATGAATTGAGGGGGCACAAGAAGATCACTCGACGGGTTGCAGCCTTTTCAATGTCTTTTTGAAATTGTCTTTTTGCAGTAAATGTTCTATTTCTTTAGGACAACATTTTTCAATTAGATTTACTTGTTCATTATGGTTAACATGAGCAAAAACCTATATTTGACTCCCGACTTATTTGTCATTGACCATTTCTCGTATCTCTTTCGATTTCATTAATCTTTTCTTGAWTCCTTTGCTCATTTATCGTTTAGCACACATCACTAATCTTCAAAGTATGTGGTTTTCGTGATGTTCGTTATGTGTTCTGTCTATCTGTGCGTCTATCAATAATCTTTATCTCTCGTGGAAAAGAGGTCATCGTTTACCTGAGGCCGAAATCGAATCCCTTCCACTTCTAACTTATCCGGCTAGTCGAAAGACGTTATTCGAACTCAAAGGCCTTAAACTTGTGTTGAAGACGTACACTACCCATTATGGAATAAGACCAGAGATGYGCATGGCGCTGTTATGAACACACAAAWACCGTTTTATATCCAASAATCTTAGATTGAAGCGCTTTTTTATAGTCTTGAGATTATTGAAATAGCGGGATGCGTGTTTAACCTCCGACCTCGTTATTGTTTCAACGACAACTTAGTGTCCGGTTGAAAATGGCTTCATGAACCTTTTAATGACGATAAAAAAACTCCACTAAATATGAACACTTAAAACAATAAACTAGACAATTAATATATAATTATCAGCTTAGGTCGATTTACAGGGGCCTTTCTAAGTGTGATATTTGTTTTTTGTTTTTTCCTGCTAAAAGGAGTCACACCAGCTGAATGACATATGGAACGCGCATTTCTCGTCAGGACATTCTAGAATCTACACTGAAAAAAAAAAAACAAAACAAAACAAAACAAAACAAAAAACAAAAAAAAACAGGAAATCAAACAAAATCAAAAAATCGATATTCGTAGTAATTAAAATGTATAGGGAAAAAATCTTATAAAACTGAAACTGTCCATTTCGATTTCCAGGATTAGTGCCTATTATATTTTCCAAAAGCATTGAAATGATATTTCAAAGTCTCTGTAAATGTCCGATTTGAGACCCTGAAAAAATCCTGATAAGATTCTGGTGAGATCCTACGTGATCTCRTAACAGAAGCATGCTACATTRAAAATCARATTGTCAAGTCGCTATCAATTCTGTCGCGGATAAGRSTRATTATCAWGCGATAGGTACACTTACAATGGGTGTGGTACACCATAACGAGTCAGGTCAATCTTATTTTACAATTTCATGACAATACATCAAGAACATTTCAGTCAATATAGATGGAATGTCTATATTCTTTAGTTGGAGAGGCTCAAAAGGAGACATTGACAGTGTTGTTCGCTGTTTTTTTTTTTTGTTCCGCTTCAATTAGGTTAATTCAAGCGGTATTTCAGGACTTTTATCCATCTAGAAGCAGTAAGCAAAGCAATGTATACGGAGTGATTGGAAAGCACGATTTAAGCTTATGTAACAACACTGATTGCCTTTTCATTTTGGTCGGCTTGTACGAGGTGGTCATTAGGCTAGACACCAGTCCCTTCTCATGAACCTAAAGGACATAAAACCACGCCGATATTCAACTAAGAGCGAGTACTATACCAAGTTCCCGGTCTACAACATCATTTGAGTAAATGAATTCATCACAATGATAATGAAGACTTTGCCAAGTGCTTGCGACGTTGATTTTATATTTCGAGTTGATGATCTGGTTGTCACTGCAGCCAGATACCCATTTTCTTGGTSAGGTTGTAACTGTTCAGGTTGTGTTCTTACTCTTGATTCCACGGTGGACCAGGGTCTATGGCATTCACGTCGCTGCATGGTCCTTACCTGGCTGACTAAGTCAGTAACAAGTTTTTTAGCGCCCGAAACACAATTGTCTAGGACTTGGGTTATACCAGAATAGTCTTATAATAGCCTAAGTTAGAATTTGTTATCATCGATGCAAAGAAGTTTCTTACATTGATGTTCAAACAAACGAGCTTCTGTAATCATCATTTTGCTGGATTAGAGCTTGATGAATGTCAGTGTTGATTATCGTGAGTTGAGCTAACCTAGACAAGATAAGTCGTATGATATGACCTTGACTATGTGGAAACAAGTTTATCGCTTGATACTTTGTTAGATACCCTTGCACTGATTCCTTCATAAGTCCGTAAGACATCGGATAAAAGATGAGAGATACATCTCCTACCTAGAGAATATTTCTTTTTATCTATAATTCTCCATTACGTAAAGTTGATATTTTCACTAGTGAAAATTACACATTCGAGGTTTCTCTATAATATAGTGGAAGTAAGAAAAAAAGGTATTTGACGACATAATTTGCTTTCATATGTAATTATATGATAAAAAGAATATTACATGGCCGCTTGGAGATACGAAATTTATCTTCTCGTGTTGAAAATCTCTAACTCGTTCGCTACGCTCACTCGAAGATAAAATCCGTAACTCCGCGCGTCCATGTTATAAGCTCTATTTCTATTTCTACAGCCATGGCTATCCTTCACTTGAGGGTTGCCCAATGGCTTCAAAAAGAACCTCTTGTTCCCCACATAAAACATTTTGTCTTGTGTATTCATTCTATTATGCCTCTTTTTTGTATAAAGGTATAAAGGAAATCCATCTAATATCATGACTGATAATGAAAATGAACGTGTTAATGGCTTGTTCTCAGGATCATTTCCAAGGTAAACTAACGTTGATCGTCGCAGCACAACGAAGTATCTTTTGGTACGTGCTGGATTTGTACTAGTGCCCAGTCTTCGACACTTCAGGTGACACGTGATCTGATTCGGAGAACTATTTCATAAATTATCAGTTTCATGTTATTGCAACTTGCTGGAATTTCTTATTACCTCTTGTAAATTCGAAGTTGTTGTGCAATTAATGAATCAATAACAATATATTATATTTAGTATGGTATTATTTAATATGTGATACTATGATTTCCGGTTGGTATTACTAATTGAAAATTTATCTGAATATTATATCTCAATATGACCTCGTTAAAGAAAATTATGATGGGGTGCGACGATGGTTTTGAAGCAAAGTTAATGTTCACCTGATAGCATGTGATAGCAACGTCGTAAGTTCTGATTTAAATCCAGTCTCTCTGACATTGGTATCATTATCATCAAACCTCTCAGTTTTTACTGGTAATTATAGCTGAAACCTCGCTTTTGATCATAGACTCAATTTCTGCAATTGTGTGCATATTGTAACGTTGAAAGCGCGGGAAAATATGACCCTCCACTGAAATCAGACATTACATCCATAACGCAACGCCCATAGCCATATGTTTGAGCGATGCCTTTTGTTTTTTGTAAAGATTAAAGCGCCTTGATCATGGCGGGTCCCTTGTTGATCTACCAGATTTGTAGGAGGTCGGTCTGTGCTGTTTGGTTGTCTTGTGTTGCCTTTAAATAACGTTTTTCTCTGATAAATGCGTCAACAGAAAAGCGAGTGTACTTTTACAGTCACAAGCTGTTTATGTCGTTCTCTCAGTTTGTGTTGCTCTGTCGATTGGGTCACTTTGGCCAACTGATTCTGTTCGCCTATTGATGGTGTTATTTACATTTTAACTTTTCTTCAAGGAATAAGAAGCTTTAACGATTCCTGATGCAATTTTAGTTGTACCTCCATCATAAGAATTCATAAGAATCAAAAACTCATTTTCCACCACCTTGCTCAAAACGATTGTCCTTCAACCTGCTGACCAGTAGGTGTGAGAAAACATGTCGATCAAAGTAAAGATCACAAAATCAACCAATTTTCAGATGTATTTTACCACAAAGTCCAAAAAGTCTATCAATTTGTGACAACAACGTTTTAATTGTTCTCCAGATTTTGTAGAATTGTTGGGGATCAAACACCATAATGATCTTATGCGTCCTCATTTGATTCCTAAGATTTCCCGCTACTTTGGCGATATATATCTTGTATTAAGGACAATATATAACCTTGGATTGCAACTCTTTTTTTAGATAGCATTATGTATGGAGGCAGCGTTAGTCACGTACAAGAGTTATAATCCGCTTTGTCGACGGATGATAACCGATTGAACAGGGGGTTCCTAGCGCACTTTGGTTTCCGAGAACCAGTACATGATATTATATCACTTTTATCAGCTTATCTTGTAATACAAAGAGATATATATATAGTAGGGTAGTGAGATATTCTAATCATGGTTAAACCTCATTGTATTACACTAACGAACAAAACTTCTGCTATGCTGTGTACCACTACATTACGAACAATCCGGCGACATGATATGATTACTACTCAGTTTGCTCTGCTTTGCTCTCAAACTGAACAACGAAACACTTGCATCAAAGCTTGATACAAATCTCAAAAACACCATTCCTTAATGTGAACATTTTGCTGTTTAATATTGTGAGGTGTAATCGATGTTTATAGCGTGTATGCCTCACAATCACTCAAAGACAATTCAGTGAAATATGAGTTCAGAGGATACCCTTTGCAAACTCAGTGTTGGAACAAATTTAACGACTAGAATCCACTAGACACTAGACTATGATTTAGTTACAGTTGAAATCTGAATATGTACTTATGGAAAAGCAAGAAATTCTCATATTTTCATTTATAATATGTACATCTATAAATTTCATAGCATTTCCTCTGATCAATGTCTCGACTCATTGGGATAAATGAATGAAGGTATAGACTATTTCTTTTGAATTTGATTTTGTAAAAAAATGAATCGTTCAAATGTGTGTTTTCTAGAGATCCATTTTTGATATCGACAAGTGTACGTATCAATCGCGATTAGGGAGAATCGTTTATCTAAATCTATATTATACCGATGAGTTAATCCATTCGTCTAGCCCCATCTTTGTTAGAAGGCATGGTATAAAGGTGTTTGTCATATAAATACCGTATTTGTTCATGAATGGTGTTGGGTGTGAGAAGTTTTCCATGCTCCATGCTTTGTGTCAATTTACAGTAGGCGTCGATGAAGCCAGATCATACCACATGGTAAAGTAGGCTCGTTCTTCTCAGTTCAATACATTTACATTCAAATATCATCGTAATTCCATTGCCCAAACTTGCTGTGGCCATCCCGTTCGACCACGTTTTCTTGGAGCTAATTCACCGCTCTGGAGAAGCAAGATAAGGTCGATAGTAAGCTAATTATGCCATTATAATCAATGACAATGTTTGTTATTCTAGTTAATCACACAATAGGGACTTCGCTGTTTTTTCACTTGGATTATACCCTATGTATTGGAACACCTTAAGGAAAGCTTCTATTAGCAGCTTTTCACGCTTTACTGAGCGATAAATCGCATACTGCACAGCCCACAATGATATACATTCATGGAGTCAGTGATGGGGGTTTCAAAAGTGTACTTACCGACTGATCACGTCGACGTCGTTCCTTCATGTCACTTTGTAAAGCCATTTCTACAACGAAGCTTTTCTTTGTGCACGGTTTACCGTCCTTACTTTCTTCTAGGACTTCCATTAGGTATCTTATGTAGCTGATAGCGAGTCGTAAAGTCTTTATCTTTGACAGTTTCGTATCTACAGGGACGTTGGGTATGTGCTGCCTTAAATCCTCAAAGGCTGAATTCATTGTTTGGGTGCGTTTTCTTTCCTTTCTATTGGCGAGATTTCGCTGCTTTGGTGGGTTGTCGTCGGATGGTTCCTCACGTTCGATTATCGTATCTTCTGAACTCTCATCAACACTGTCGTTTCTTAGCATTGCGACTGGAGAGCGATTATTGTGTAACCTTGGTCACTCTATGATAGGCAGCACAAGACATCTGATTTCAAATCATAGGAAAAGGACAGACATTTACTCATCATTAATCTACCTTATCGCTTTCAAAGACATCATCCAATTAGAGGGCAGTAAGAGGAGTGCGCATGATAAGACTTTTTTAACCTCTTGGTATTTTTACCCCGAATTGAAGAACACCAAGCATTCCATTTTTTTTCTTTCCAATTTCAGTCTACCTAGATGGCTCCTCACGTGGGGCAATGAATGGATTTCCAGTGAAAATCAAGCATATTAAACATGTTAAATGCTCATTTAATTGAAACATACACATGTTTGAACCGCCCAGTTGTCATCAACTAATCTCTCAGCACCTTATGATGTATTTTAGGAAAGCGTTAACTTGGTGTATGCAAAATACACATTCTCTTCAAGAGAGAAGCATTGCCTTCTTTAAGAAAAGCTGCAGAAGACCATCAATCAACATACCATCAAACAGAAGGCGTGTTCTTTAAAACGAGATTTTAATCTTATAAAAACGGCCATAACTTTTCTAAGCACCTGTCGACGAGGTCGACTTCTTGCGCCGTTTTGGTTGCAGTTTGTTTGTAGAAAAGACTGGTACAACAATAGACTTTGACAATAACTTGGTAACCTTTGACAGCGAACTACTTTGGTTAGGGAATGGACTCTTATCATGTACTTGCTGGATTTTGACATGTGCCAGCTTAAATCGGATGTTATTTCCGGTTCCTGATTGAATTTCATGGTGCTCTACATTATTGCGCTGTGTTCAGGGTGGTACAGGAAATGGGAAGGGACGGGAGGGTAGGGTAGGGTAGTGCAGCTTTGACATTGCTAGCTCACCCACTTATAAAAGTCACGCATTTGCTTAACTTAAAACGTTTGTGGATTATATGGGGGAGAGGGGAGGAGAAGATGATAGGACAAAATAATTTTACTGAGATCTCCGGCAGCCCGTACCCCGTACCCCGTACCCTAGAGACACGCAGGGTATTTCACGAGCCAAGCATGTAGTTTATTCCTTGACTGATCTACAAAGAAGGCCTTGGCTAAAACTTCAATATAAAACGGAGTTTGCAGCTTTTGCACAGGAAGCCCATACAATAATGGTGTTCTGAAAGTGCCAATTACAAATTTTTTACTTGCTTTGTTAGTTTCAGGTCGATTTTTAGTCATTTTACTAGATATTTTTCAATATATTTTGCTCAATCGTGTTTGCCTGTCATTTTGTTGTTGATTAATTTTCAGTTTCTCTTGTTCTTTGCTATGTTTGCTTCATTTCTTCGTCTTCATCATCTTTGAATGACTTATATTTAATATTAGCAGGAATAACTTCTTATACAATTTGAATATTTTCAGGATGTACCAGTCTTGCTCGACTAGACCACAAAATAGGAAGCCCAAATACCACAAACTGTTCCAACGATTGGCGGCACTTTGTTTCACTTTGGTTGGCATTTCAAAATTGCTTGAAGCATTTTAAGGTAAATAAATAACTAGTATCTTTTTTATCACAATTAATGTTGGTCCCTGACTACAAGAACGATGTGCTTGAAGAGGGGGTGCATAAAATGGGAGGGGATGTGTCTCCTTTTGGTTGGAAAATGGGATTTTTAACACTGGGACAGGGATTTACTTCAAGAATACAACTGAGAACAAGTGACAATTAGATTTTTGTTGTTCTTGCTTGTTTTCAAGACATAAGACCCAGTAAGACGACACCACAATTACACTGATATCATAAGTCGTTTTTTTTCGGGTTTTTTTAAGCTCATTTTGTATTTGTTGGTGAGCGATAACCACAGGAAGCCCAACGAAGAATGAGTGAATCGACCTATGAGATCAGTGTACATTACAACGTTGATTGACATAGAAGCCGGACTAGCTTGTGTAGTGCCCTCTTTGTGTCCTATTCCTTAGTACACAGGGATCCCAAGAGGGTCGATACACAGAGTAAAACAAGAGTAAATGATCTCACATCGTTTAGTTTGGCTTGTTTATTGTACAAATCATTATGAATTGCTGGACACTTTGTTATAAAAGCAAACTAAGGCTAAATCCACCCTAACACATGGCCTTTCGTCTTGAACGGTTTCCTGTGAATAACAAATAAACTAATTAATATTAATCTACTTGATCTTTAACACCGACAATGCATTTCGCGGGCTCTTAGAAAATACAAAAATAGCCACGATGAATAGTATGGCTAGAGTGACTGGACAAAGTAACCACAAAATTGATGTTTAAAATGATGTTTGATGATGCGGATGATTGTACAAACTGCTAAACAACGGTCAAACTATGCATTTTAGTTTTTAAGCTTTCAGACTTTCAAATCAAACCAAATCCAGGGTAATAGACCCAGGAAAATATGAATTAAGTAACAGGTTGAAGAGTTTTTGGTGTTTTAGGAAAAGCCAGCCATTTCTATATAGAAAGTTAGGTGTAGTCACGATTCTTGTTTTTGCCTTTGTTTCTTGTTTATAAATATCCATGATACCCAGTATAGCTTTTTGTGCGTACGAGCTAAGCTATGCACCTCACAATGTGCAGGGCCTGATTAGGTATGTGAGTTAAAGTAAAGAATATATGATAAACTAAAATAGCCAAGGCTTGTAATATAATTAAATATTATCGGTTTCAGCATAAGTGCAATAGCATTTTGCAGGTCAGTGTACGTAGAAGTGGGTGTAGTTTATTTTATATTAAAAAAACGTAGGTAGCATCATAGCTCGGCCTTTTCGGACGAGTGGGACTTAGCTTTTTATGGTACTGGTCCTTATGAAGGACCAGTACCATTTGATCTTCCCAGTCGTCCAAAAATACGTTTTGCATTAATTCCCTTGAGGTAACCCGTTTTTTGGCGATTGAGACGATCCGGAGGGTTATATGGACACTGTAGGCCAAACTAGTGAACACGAAAATCCTCCATTTTTGTAATTTAATCGTTAGTATCGTGCCAATCAATTATTGAAGTAATATACAAGTTATTCAGTGTGAGTCGTAGCTTGGTGTTGGAAGGATTAAACTTTCGTCGATGTATGAAATTATTGCCAGTGTTAACGATCGATGTAAAGTGAAGCTCACAAAGGGGATTAGGCGGAGAGGTTTCAGTAATACACTACTATTGATAGAACAAAGATTGCGATTTGTCAAATAACAACAAAGACATGCAATACAAAAAAACAAAGATGTCCTGTAGAACAATAGAGATTGTTTAACATAAGCTCTTAATTCTCTATCTCTTTTTTTTTTGTCTCAATAAATCACCAACTTCGTTCTTAGCGCGCGAAGATCTAAACGAGACGTACTAACTTCATAACTGAAGGAGTTGTATTAAGCACGTGTGTCAACCCTGGATGATTTCATATGGTAGTGAGATTTCCAGTTTGTTCGTACAGCTYTTTCTCTCGCTATAGATTATATTCTATATGATATCACTGTGACCTGCTCTTTACRCACAGTTCTCTTTCTATATGTTTTCCCAGAATGAAAAGAAACATGACTTTCTTCAATTACAACAGCGATTAACTTTTCCCAAAGCAACAATAGTGAAGAGCAAACTGTTTAGGAACTATTTGTTTCATATTTAATAGTTAATTGCGATTTTTAAAGGAGAAAGGGTMAATTTTAAGACAGACTTTATTTTAGGAGAAAGTGATTTGATTTTTGTAAGTTTTTCGGCTTCTTTCACACCACGCTGGCGGTCGAGGATGATAGGAAAGTGTACAAGTCCGAGGAGGTCCACTGTACTTAACCACTCAGACTGATGTGGTTTAAGTCTTACCGAGCAGRTCCATGTGTACAGTCAAACTAAGCTAAAAAACACGAAATTATTACTTAGTTTGTAATTGACTACAAAAGTAAGAGGTTATATAAAGAAATCAGTAGCGAATTTTCATCGACAATTTTCTTTTCTATTTGAGCACTAATGTCCTTTAAGATGCTGTATATAACAATATATAACTGACACAGGTTTTGTTATTTCTATGATAATACACGCTTAATATGATCAATATTTTATCAATTAATTCAATGAGTATCAATAACTCATGAAAATAAAATTCCAATCAAGCCGACCATTGATTTTTAAGTCAAATTCAAGAGGAAGAAATCACAGTTCATGGAGAAGCCACGACGAATGTCACCGATTATTGTTTCCTTAGCACATTTGAATACAAATTGGCTTACTATGTTGTCAGCTTGTACTAAGTGACAACATTCTTATCAATATGAAGTCATGGTTCTACATTATGGTTACGAGTTGACTGCTTCATGAATACTTTATAATGTTTTAACCAATTTGACCTGAATCTGTAAAACACTAAGGCATCTGGTCAATACTTCACTACTCACGACTATTGTATTTCGTTTATAAATTGTTAATTTTTTCTGAATATCACGTATAAAAAAAATTAATTTTAATGTTTTAAAAACATTGTGCTATCAATCTGTCTAGAGTTCGTTCATTGTAGTGCATATACCATAAAGGGGTGACCACACCTTGCGTACTGGAGGCGCTATGGTGTAGAGCTTGCCTTTTGAACGAATCTAAAGGAATGCATAAAATGGTTTGATTAAAAGCCAACTTGTTAATCAACAAATTGGTAGAAAACCTAAATAACTGATAAGAAACTCATCTAATGGAAAAACTGATCGTGACTTCATTCAAAACTTGACCGTTACGTGCACCTTGCAGCCTATCGCCATCATCTCCTGATAACACTCCACGTATTCGTGGCTTTAAAGTCGATCGCTGGGGATTTCTCTCCATAATGGACGGGATAAATGCCGCACTTTTTTAACCTCAAAACTATTGAAAATCGTTTTTTGGTCCTTATTAGGGCACCACATGCCTTGCTGAGAATACTACGAGGATCATGTCAAAGATGATAGCAATCTTAGAAAGAAATGTAAATGATTAAATCTATATGTTATATCAATCATATTAAGTTAAATATAAAAGCCTCTGAAAAAAAGCTATCTAAACTGTTAGATATAAAGCTATGGTAGTTTTTTATGTCAAGTTTTCTTGAATATTCTAAGCGATGAAACAAGTTATGCACGTGTTTGAGAGTAATAACTGGAGATGTACCGCGTTTTAATAAGTTTTTACCGCTTAGCGGGAAATTCTCCCTTATAATGTCACGTGGTCGTCATATAATGGCACACCATACCATGACTACAGTCACCAGGCAAAAGAGCACCTCAAGACCTATTAAAGCCGCTTTTTTCAGGCTTAAGAAAATGGTATTGTATAGAGATTAAGCAGCTGGAAGGAACTATCAGAACTGGTTTTCTGCGGGTAGATGGATGGTCATCAACCATAGGACCCGTGAAGCACGTGTTTACTCCATCCATGTGGAACGGACACGTATCTAAAGCAAATAATTCTATAGTAAATAACTACCTGTGTGCCTTCTTTGTTCAAAGGCTGTAAATCACTCTGATTAACGTATTACTAACAAAGTTTTATGAGAGTTTCAGGCCTCTTTTTATGGTCTACAGGTGATTAAACAATTGTAGACATAAACAAAATGATTTGTTGAAAAGATTTATATAGAAAATTGCGGACAATTTGCTATGAATATTTATAGCTTTTAGTTAAAATATATATCACGCTCTGAAAAATTAATTTTTTTTACATTAGAAATGATTTTGTTAATATTTCAGCTGCAGATATCTAAAGTATTAATGGCATATAAATGAGTAACAGTTTCACTTGTTGTATGGGCTAACAGTTTGTTGAAAGACGAGGCGTAATCATCGAACTGTTTTCAATCCTCTTCATTGAAATTAGACATTCTGTTAGACTTGAATCAAAATAGACTGCTAGGAAGTCAAGAAAAAACGACTTTGAGCAAGCCTACATTATCAACTGTTTTTGAAATGATATGCAAATAGCATATTAATTTGACATTGGAATTGTTTCTGCAAATTTGCTCATTATTGAAACCGTGATTATTGATTTTGCACGTTGAACGCATCAATCGACCGGGCTGTCATTGGTGCCATAGCAATGAAGTCCTCATTCATTCTCGTAATATTTTACAATCAGTTCTTCCTTGGCAGTGTTTATTATTGAACGCTAAATTGTCATTTTCATCAAATCTCACGACAAATAATCAAGGAGCGCAGTGAGACCTCAGCCAGAGTCCAAGCCAATGTTAGTTATTGTATTGTGCAACTCAACATGAGAAACCAAACCCCTTGAGAATTTACACTCTTCATTTCCGCACACGAATTCACAATAAACTTTTATTAGTTATGTTATTTGATAAACTAGAAACATGCTTTGGTAACTGAGGAAGTTCCCTAAAATAATAATTATGCTGTTTTTCAATATTATAATGGATAACACCGAGTAGACAAGTGCCTTGTCACATGTCGAAACAAGTGCCATTGAGTGACCAAGGTTTTATTAGTTACAACGAACGTTAAAAATCTTATAAAAAAATAATTATAGCGATGGAATTATAAATAATATGGTAGTTTTCATTTATTCTTAGCTATTTTTAAAAGAATTATTAAAAGAATTATTAAAAGTAATACGGACTGAATCAACAACAATGATAATCTACTGTACCAAAACTACAACCAAAACATCGTAGAATAGTTATATAGTAGATTATTTTCTTAAATAGAATGATTATTATTATTGGCAGCATAAAACGAAGTAAAGCTTGATAGCTAAATATCCTGCGGCGATTGATATTCTTGTCGGTCTGCCAACTCACGAAGGTAAAAAAACGCGGTTATTTGGACGAGAGCACGTAGAGAATTTACTAATGATAGCTTGAGGAGGGATTGAGACAAGTGGAAAGTTAATATTACTGTCAAAAAGGAGTCTAGATACACATTATGAGGGATTGAGTCTAGCATTAGCGAGAAGTTAAACTAAAATTCACAACGGAAGGATCCTCTTGACTGTAGAGGAAATAATCTGAATGTAATAAACAACGGCGTAGTCTGAAAGTATAAACGAACTTCACTTGTCACATCCAAATTGCGTTTGTGGCAGTTGGCATATAATTAAGTACTTATGAGTTGGGAAAACGGTGACACAAGGGAACTATTACATATGGGCAGTGATACCAATTACGTTGATGCCTAAAAGCTATCCATTGTAATTCATCAAGAAAAATTTATCTTTCGTACTTTATTAAGCTCGACGTATTAGCATACACACAAAAATAGAAAAACGAAAAATAAAACAAACTCGCACACACACTGAAAAAACCTTCACGAGGCTTATGTTGGCCCTCAATTGTGGATTCCCTGTGTGCTTAGCATCGTAAATAATTTGCGTTTTTTTTGCTTATATCTTGTCATTTTAATTCCTTTATTTTGTATGGCTTTAAAGTGTTATTATTTACTCACTAGAATGCCTTCGCGAATGAGTAAAAAAGATTTAGTGGACTTTTATAGATTGAGATATGTTTGTTTATTGCTAGTGATATATCTTGCTTATTCATCGTAAAACGTCGAATTGTGCTTGATGCAGGGTTGATTTGCGAGATAAAACATGCCACTCGAAGCATTCAAATGGAGACTCGGTGTTTTGTAGATAAATGAAATTGAGAGATATTTGCATTAAGCAACGTTAATCACATCAAAGACAAATTGCTCTCTGTTCCATCATGATGTAGAAAAAAAAATTCTAATCGAGAAGAAATATGGCTTAAAAGCAAAGATAATGTTATTACTGGACCAAAGTTGTCAACTTGGAGTTATTTTCTGGCTTCTTTTTCATTAGACAAATCAATATCATAGCGTAGGTCTAGAGTACAAACAATTTAGAAGTTTGAAATTTCCATACTAATTTAGTCGTCGAAAACCAGCCGGCATTCTATAGTAGCACCTGCTATTCATAACCCGCTTGAAGTGAATTCATCATCCGTTCAGCTCTGAAAATTGTAAAATTATCTCGAGGTTCACCGTCAGCCTCATTCTTAACGTTAAATTGGAAGTTCGAATTTCTTTGTTTCCGTTAAATTGTTGGCAATTCAGCCGGAAATAAATTGACTTTCTTCTCAGTGTGACTTGTGTGTTGTGTTGAGAAAACAATCTTATTTTTAGTTGATAGCCTACAGGTCTAACGAATTCGAACGAATAATCGGCGCACATGGATATTATTACATCGAACGTTTGTTCACTGAAATAACAACCCTTGAAAGACCTCTTCAGTACTAACCCGAATAAAAGATGTAGTAATGTATACCGTGGTTTGGATTACCAGGTTTTTCTATCGTTATTCATTGAAATTCTCGTAGCGTCTGCCATTATGTAATGCGAGAACTAATCGAAATGAATATTTGTGAGTTCAGATTCGAATTTATCAGTTGATTGAAAAGAAAGTACTAAAGTTAATTACAGGTTTGATCTATTTCTTCGTACCTTTTTACCTTCTATCTTGCGTCTTGGTAGCAGAGGGAACACTCCTTAGTTAGCGTCTATCGGTTGATTGATAAACACACTGGAACATAAACGAATATATGTCAGAATTTCAACAAGGGGTATTTGCACGCTAACGCGTTTGAAAGGAACGGGTCTTTGTGCTCGCTTATCTAAAGCTTGTATTCTTGTCGGAGAGAGTATTGGTATGCATACATGAATATCAGCAAACGGCCTAACTATTTAGATATGTACGTGTCCCTGAGTTGTGTATTTTTAATGGAATACTTGATCAACTTTTTACATATTAAAGGCAGAGCCATTAATTGAAGTCAAGTCTGGGATTTTCTTGTTGCTATGATCCTAAAAAAGGGAAAAATTCGAGGGTAAAGCTACAAAGCAAATCCTTTTTCGTGGCAAGTTACGGGTGTTTTTTTTCTGGCGGCGTTTACCATCAAGCGTTTCATCGCCGTGGCTATAGGTTAGTTTCTTTTATTTTCATTGTTGGTTTTTGGTTCGAAATAAATTCCTTCAATAAGTAATTAGTATTTATTCGTGAAATATAGTGTCAAACAGAGAAGATAAAGATGTGACACTATAAAAATGGAAGAATTCACGGTAAAAATTGTCCATCATTACGAATAAAACTTAATGGATGCCAAACAAGAAACAGCTGGTCTGCCAGGCATCTGGTTAGTACAGAAATACTGATGGAATAACATTTCATTGGCACGAGCGACTGTTGAAAACATAAGAAATTCGTGTGATTATTCAATGCTGATTCAAAATTAGGAATAGTAGTTGAATTAGACTTATACAACACTGAATCTTCTCTCGCAACGACTGATAGCGCGCAATTATCACCGATATCTAAGGAATCTTTACGATAATCTAAACCTTTCTTTTTCCCTATCACTAGGATTGTAAAGAGTGGCAGTCTTTATCACTCGCATTGTTTGCTGACAGAAAACCAAATAGTTGCATCTCTTGAAACTAATTTGCAAACATTTTTGAAAACACTTGATGTAAATAAAATAAAAAATCTATTTTTACGTTTTGTCGACAATGAAATCATCTGCGCACACGAAAATTCGGGAGCATCATCTCTCAGGCTCCCTCGTCTTACAAGCAAGTACACTCTAATTTACAGCGCAATTTCTTTTTATTAATATCTCTTTTTGGTGTGTGTGTGGAAAAATCTAGAAGAGAGTCTTTTGAAATCATGGTATAGCTTCTTTTTTTGTTTAATTAGTGTATTTTAGTGTTCGTTGCATGGGCTGGACAGGAGAAACAGCGGGTGGGTTGAAAAGTGCGAGCTGTCACACCGCTCATTGCTTCACAATTTCATGCTTGGTTCAAAGATTTACCGCCTCGTGAGAGGTGACCATGAAAACGCACAAACGACGCTATGTACTTTACAAGAGCAAATACCTTTACAGACAAAACTGACACTGAAAATGCAGGAAGTACAACGTTGGTAAACTGAGTAAAGACATAACTAGTCGATAGTGAAAGGATTAGATTTTGCGTGAAGAAGAGCTTCATTTGTTTTGTAAAGTTTATTTTGGCATATTAGTCGCGGACCAATAGTATTTAATAATGATTGTGATTATCTGCAACCATACCGAGATCATTAGAGAGAACACTACCTCATTCATCAGTCTAATTCTCTCTACTTTGAAAGGCTTCTTTTTCACGAACCAATCAGAAAACAGCATGGATGCGAAGGCGCTTAAAGCATATGCAGTAGTCGTGTGCCGTCAAATAACAAGATTACTGTTCAATACAAGGAATAAAACACCTCTTATCTTATTGGTCTACAAACCCGGCCATGAGGAGTGTAAGTGCGCTAATGAAATTGAATAAAGCCACTAATTGTCATGGAGCGATTTGTCGGACAAAAAATGTTACACTTCAACACACTCCTGTTCACGCTTGCTTGGCGGTAAAAAATTAGTAGCATACATTGTTGTCTGCATCGAACCATAGAAATAGATTAATGAATCCCTACAGTACCATCCCAATGCATTACACCGACTTGAAGCAAGAACTACACACAAAAGAAAGTCCCGTTTTCGAGTTGATATCTATCCAAGAGTGTCTCAGCTATTTCTCTTACAAGCCTTCACTCAGACTGCCCTCGTTCTCGTGGCAACGGGAACAGGTTCAGCTGTTGTTCTGCGCATGCGTACTATGAATTTTTAAACAGCGCATGCGTAGCGGGTTTCGAACAGGTGCATGTCAAGTGCAAATGTTGTTAACAMAATGATAATGATTGTCCCTTTCTTTTACGAGCACTCGGACTGCATTTAAAGACGTCTTCGCGTCATGACAGTAGGCTTCAGTTGGTGTAACTGACTTAGTTCAAACATGAACCGTGACTCGCTCCTCAACAAAAACCTAAGTCCTCCTTTATCCCGTATATCAATATCTAATGGAACTTCACTATCCAACTCATATGTCAGCAATTCTGGTGGAGGCCAATTCAGAGAACCAAGTTGGATCCCTTCAATTCGCGGTTCCAATGGCTCGGTAAATATAAACTTCTTTATTGTGCAATGTTCAAGTGCCGTTTTTCATCGGATGTAGCGTTATATTTGAAAATTCCTTAACTCGACTATCTAACTGTGTTGAAATTTTTGGAGTAACTTGGTTCTTTTTTTTGTTTTTAGTTGTCATTCCCGTCAAGATCTACAAACCTGGTACGTACTAATAACTATCAGACAATCGCCGTATTTCCGTTTTTCATTATTACTAAGTCACGATTATTTCTTTATCTTTAGATTCCACCTAGTGTATTCGATACGTTCGATGACTCTCACCTACTGTCAGTGCAACAGCCTGAGGCTTCGCCCAAATACTTGACGAAACAATCCAAGCAGAGTTACTCGATCCCTGGGCTTCATGCTACACACGCGCCAGATACGTACGACGCACACGACATCTTAGACCAAATATCCGCTTCTCTTCAGCCGTCTTGTTCTGTTAGTGATTCATTTGATAAACCGTTCGAAACTCCATCGCCCATAAGCCTTACTGCGGCGGGACATTCTTTACATACAATCCATTCTTCTCTCGGAGCTCCTAATGATGACATGAACCCCAGAGAGCTCGAATGGTTTGCAGAACGATTCAAGCAGAGAAGAATTAAGCTCGGGGTTACTCAAGCCGACGTCGGGACAGCACTTGCACACTTAAAGATCCCCGGAGTCGGTTCTCTGAGTCAGTCGACTATTTGCAGGTTTGAATCGCTGACTTTGAGTCATAATAATATGATGGCATTAAAGCCAGTTTTGACGGCATGGCTTGAAGAAGCTGAGAAAGCTTATAAAACGAAACAGATGAACAGTGCTTTCTTGCCAAATTCTGACAAGAAAAGAAAACGTACTTCCATTGGGGCAGCCGAGAAACGGTCCCTGGAAGCTTATTTCGCAATGAACCCTCGCCCATCTAGCGACAAGATCGCGTCGATAGCTGAGAAACTAGACCTTTCAAAAAATGTAGTACGAGTATGGTTTTGCAATCAACGACAGAAGAAGAAAAGAATGAAGTTTTCTGTACATTGAATCGCCTAAACTATCAAGGAAATTATTGGAAATCTTTGTCCAACAACAGACAAATATCTCTACAAGTCAAGTTTGACTCAAAATTCTAATTATAAACTAAATATCGTGGACCGAGAAAGAAGGGATTATTGACGCAGAGCTGTCAAAACGGACTTTTACTTCACAAGCAAAAAGTTTACCACAGGACTTGCGATGTGAGAAAACCAAAGTACGCCGGAAAAACTCAGATGTTTCAGTGTTTACAACATCATCGAATGGGAATGTTTTGAATGGCTCGCGGCGAACAATTATTCACCTTTAGAGAGAAAGATAATGAGACTGGAGAATTCCTTAGCATTCCTCGTTTCCGCTTCAATACAAGTTTATTTCTATATTTTCTACCGATAAGAAAGAATTGTTATCTTATTCTTTCTTGTTCTAAGAGAAGATTGACAATTATCAGTGGAAAAACTTACAGAAACTGCAGTTCTACACCTGCCCTAAAGAGAAAAGCCAATTCTCGTGTTTGAATGAACTAGAATTTATTAGACAAGCTATATGTAAATTTGACGAAGTCTTTTAAAACCAAATCTGTTATATTAAACAATATTGAAGTTTCAATTGACGGTGGACTGAAAGCTTAGAAAATTAGTCGTCAATAAATAGCATATATTAATGTTTTTCTTCGACCATAAAAATGATCGCAAAAGACATGGCTGATGTAGCTAAGTTGCATTTATGAAGACAGCCTTCACAATCACAGACTCTTGTTTCAAAAAGTGTTCTGTGAAGTTTGAAATGATCCACTCTTAAACTAAGATATATATTTTAAAATTTTGTATGTTTAAGGAAAAGTTTTATGAGTCTGTCTCAGTGTAAAATACTTGTATAAGAATTAGAAGCACCGATTTCCGGTAAAACATTTTCTTTCAAGCTCTTTCAATTTCAAAATCGCGAATGAGGCCGAAATACAGCCTTGATATAAATCAATTGTAACACACATTTTTATTTATCTCTTGAAAGATTTGTAATGAATTATGCTTAAATTGGCCTCCAAGTTTTAATAAAGCTAAGAGAACATGAACGTTTTGTTGGGTTGTCTTGTACTGACCACCCGTGCTGGTGGTTCACGAGCTACTTCGTAACACGAGTTCTAGTTGAATTGCTTCAAAACTTATTCCCATTTAACATGCTCTCAAGTTGCGTCCATATTTTGCGCATTTAGGAATAAAACTTAATAGAGGAGGTGCAATAATTGAGTAAAGCTATATACAAATACTGTGCCCATGGCTCATGGTCAACACTTCACATTTTATGATAAAAATTTCCCTCGTTTTCAAATCTAAAAGAGTAGTGGTCAATTTGGCGCCTATTCGACTCTATCCAACTGTGATTTCTTGTTGTTTAAACTGGAGGACTCGGTTTATGTTTGTACTTCCTGTGTTGGACTAAGACCGGGTAATAAGAAGTTCCCTTCGCAGGTGTAGCCAAACCACCCGCCAAGGTTCGTTTCTTTCCACGAAAAAAAAGAGAAAGATTTCACAATCGACGTCGCTTGCCATATTTTACTATTGCTTTTCTCATTATTTTGTCTTGTAAGCAGTTTTTATATTTAAAAAAAATTGCGATAGAAATATCAAACAATTTAACAGTACAATGTGAGTAAGAGTAAAATATTTTACTACGGCTTCTCTTGTAATAAACTCAAGTGTAAGCTCACACAACCAAAATAACAAGGCAAATACGCTATAAATTATATTGACCTAGTAAATGTATTTCCTCTCATTCGTGTGTTGGTATTTCTCTAGATTTACACGTGCTGAGGTCTGTTTTTTTTTTAATCCTCAATTAGAAGCCATACTAAACCAAGATGTCCGGGACGGCTGTATGTGTAGTGTATGTATTTTTGTGATGTGGCAAGTCTTTTTCTTCATTACTCTGGGGATAAACGAGACAGTAACAGCGTAAATGACGCACTGCATCCAGATGTTGTTTGCAGATAACAGGATTTTTTTACTCCAAAAACTAAATACGACATCAATTGATATTTTTGYGCACTCACTTAAGACTTAAAATGACTCGGAAATCATATTGGATGTTTAATGAATAAGATGAAAGGCAGAGTTTGTAGTCGTGAGTGTGTAACAATCAACCAATCTCCCATAGAAACGAGCCGCATTCAAACTAGTCATACCAATCTATTCAGTCCATGGCGGGCGGTATTCAATGACCAGGACCCGAGAAATCCTAAAAATCTACATTTTTAGGTTTCGCTAAACCAGATGGCACGCGCATGTTTGACAAAGGAATGCGTCAGATTTTAACTCCTTTTTTACAAAACTAGCAATTCTAATCAGAAATATTATCAAGTTAGTTCAGAGAAAAAATAAACGCTTGGAAGACCTGTGTAGGTCGTTACTTATAGTGTCAAATTCTAAACTAGTTATCAGCAACTAGAGTATGCCTGTGAAAATTATATATTTATTTTGTTTGTTAAAATGTGACAGCTCTAGGTAGCTAAAATAGTACTTCTCGTTTTGAATGAGTGTACGTTTTCATTGTAAATGAACTCGTTCTGCTAAACATTACTCGAAATATTATAAGATGGCTCAGTACTGTGATGGAACCATGTCGCCACACAGCACAAATAACAAAAAAATACAATATTTTATATTAAGTTTCAAAGAATATTTGCACTGGATTGTTAAAATTGTAAAAGCATGCGAATTAGAATAGTTTTAGGCAGAATCATTGTAAAAAACATCTACACCTGCCCCGATGCTGGCGCAGCCATAATGGTAAAGGTTTAGTTGTAGTGTCGAATTAGTTTGGTTTGGAGAGGAAAGTGTTTACCACAGATTTACATCGCGAAACAAAAAAACTCAAATAATCCCTGCTTAAATCCAACCGTTTTTTCTCCCAAATCATGATAGAGTCAGTTCAAACAAGACTTCGTAATCAAATCATCATAAATAGAATCTAAACCTCGTAAATATCTCGCCTTTGAAAACCGAACAATGGATTGAGGTTTGCGCCAAATCTTGAAGAATCTTAAAATGTTGTCAATTTGGTTTTACTTCTTTTCAACCAGATATAAATGTGCCGATCAACCATATTCGAAATCGACCTAAAATTATTGGAAACTTTGTGTTTGGCTRAATAATTACGAATTTAATTAATTATACTTGAACAGAACTTTAAAAATCCCGCTTTTCGTAGAAGAATGCGAACTCAAGTGTCGGTATAGAAATATCAAATAAAATTCACTGGCGACATAATGGCGATTGTCAGTAACATATGTAAAACAGAAATTCCTCAATATATTCAAGTCAATTTGTAAAGAAAAAAATAGCTACACCTGGCTGACGAATAATAGCGTGTAGGGCTTGTATTCTTTTTCACTCAGTAGAAGAAATTCAAGACAATATTTATTAACCAGCAAAATAGATATTACCTCGAATACATTGTAGAATAAAGGGAGCATTTATTATTTTTTGTTTGTGTTACTTTGATGAGCTGAACGCGCAATGAAACCATCTATAATACGAGGGTCTAATACGAGTAGCATGGAACGCCAGCCATTGTTTGCGAGGATAGTGTACAATTCAATTGATAGTTTGCAGGTCAAAATTAGCGCCAAATGTTAATATTTCATGTGAACTTTTTAAAAAGAACACAAATTTTAATTATGTAAGACAGTGCTTGTAAAGACGAGAGTTGTAAATAGTATCAATAACGACTGCCTTTCGCTTTAAATACTCCGCGCTTAAGTCAAGCTCAATGACGGAGAACGCCACCGGTTCTTGGTTCTACCTATGTAAATCCTTGCATTCAGTCGACTTGCTATTCCACAAAGCCGTGCACCGTTTAGGTTGAAACATAAAATTAATCAATGACTGGATTTTAAAATATTTATAGGCGATAGTAAAAATATAATTCACAAAAACGAATCCGAGTTTATTCAAAGATGACAAAGCTCATTAAATGTTTGCGGAGTTTATTCGTAATTCCGTTCTAAAACCTACACAATAATGTAAAATTAGTGTGTAAATCCCAAGCTTTTGCACCTTTTTCTATCGGTGCGTCATTTTTACAATGTTTCATAGAATGAAAAGCGAACTATTATCCAGCGCAAGAAGCAGCTAAAGGAAACGCGGTTTTGCGGTTTTTTTCACGAGGTTGAGCAGGTGGAAAAGAGTTTCTTTCTAAAATTTACTTGCTTGTTTCACGTTTGAACGATTTGGTCCGCTGAGGATGGAATTTTTTAAGGCAAACTTGACTTTATTCTGTATTGATATTTTGGTATTTTCAATAGGTAGTTGCTAGCTGCATTAGGTTTTATTTCAAGGACTGAATGAGACTCGATAGCGTCAAAAATGGAGGCAGAAAGACTTATCGATACTGAGCACTTTGTGGCTTTAATAAAAATATATTTTACTCTTGCGTAGTTTGCGCTAAATCGACAACTTTGTTATTTACATGTATTGGTACTAATATCCTAGTCCAGAACATGACTGATTGCTTTTAAACACATCGCTCTTAAAACAGCCTTTTCACTTATACAAAGGCTCTTTTAAATTTGTCTTTTGAATTCCAATTTTCATTCGAGTTCAAATTAGTCGACCGTTTTTAAATAAATAGCTAGTTAACTTGCGAGTGTAAATACGTTTCACTGGATAATTACAACAGCTTTTATTTGCCTCTTCTATTCAAACGTACTTCACAATATCAATATTACTTGAGTCAGTTTTCGAAGGTCCGCGTTAGCGGTTTTCACTATGAAACAAGATTGTATCGACCTGTGTCACGTGACATTCCAAGACATCCAAAAAGGAAAGGAAATTCCTTTGGATCACTGTGTTTATACCTCTGTTTTCAAAAACAAACTTCAGTTAGACGTTTTACACAACAACCAAGATGTTGAATGTATATTTTTCTTAATGTTTTGGTGTGATTTGCATTAAAACACGGTTAAATTCAACAATAATTGCATCATGTTTCTAGTGGTCTTTTGTTTTGCAGACGGAGTATTTTCCCGAGGATCGCATTAAAACACTAGGGAATACTAGATAGTAAGCTTATGTTTTGATATTCAATCATTCCATAGAAGCTTTGATCAGAACTTCAAACAGCTGTTCATTTCGCTCATCACGAAGCGGTGATCGAATATTCTAAATGTATCAAATCTTGAAGCACGAACTTCCAGTGAATTAAATGACTGACAATCCGAGATTTTGCCGAGTTTCCGCTGTATCAGTTGATTTGCCGAGATTATATCCGAGCCACATCCACGTGGTAGAACTCTTCCATTTCCCGCAACAGTCCTGATTAAAACTGATCGACTTACTTAAACATATAAACTAACTCCAGGATTGTTCCCACGATTGAGATGGGTTTTTTTAACAGGTAGTTATTGCGATGTCTACTTATTACAGGTAAGAAACAATTCTAGGTGACCAGCATGTTATAGTCTACCGGTTAATGCTGACACCAAAATCCAATCTCAAACAGTGAACTTTATTTTCCTTCTTAATTTTATTTCATTAAGTCAGTTGGACTGCGCACCTGGAGTAGATGGCACTTTCACGCACTTAAACTCAAATCCATTTTCCTAGCGATTATCCTCTGGCATTCCCTACCTCGCTCGTTTCGAATAAACGGCGCAAACTATGTGCTCAGCTTTGTTAGGGTTGAAAGCGAGTCTTGTTAACAAATCAGTCATCAGGCTAATGGACTTAAACAAGTTTCTAGTTGATACGCCATGCAGTTACGCGGATCCATGCGAAAATTTTACAATATAAAATGCTACAAATACTACCATAGTCTTACTGCAAAAAACCATTTACAAAAAATACAATGTTTACATTGGGATAATATTCGCTGCTAATATCTTGTTGAACAAATATTTCAAAAGCCAATTGAGTTCAATTTCATCCTATTGTTTTTATATATTTGCTTTTATTGAGATTTTTTTGTTCAACAAACAGTATCATTGCAGTCGGTGACTTTTCATCAGAGTGTTTTGTATTAATTCAAAATGTGAAGTAAACAACCCAAGTATGCTGAAATTCCCACAAATCAGCT